CATTAAGAAAAGGGCATTTAAAATCAGTCATTAAAAAGAAAAGCTAATAAAATAAACATTAAAAGAAAAAATACATGGATAAAAGTTACAGTGCAGTTTAAGATATGAATAGTTCAATTAAAAGCAGCGACAAAAAGAAAAGTCTTCAGCCTGGATTTTAAAGTATTCAGAGTTGCAGCGGACCTGCAGGTTTCTGGGAGTTTGTTCCAGATATTTGGAGCATAATAACTAAATGCTGCTTCTCCATGTTTAGTTCTGACTCTGGGAACAGAAAGCTGACCAGTCCCTGAAGACCTGAGAGATCTGGATGGTTCATAATTTAGCAGGAGGTCAGAAATGTATTTTGGGCCTAAACCATTCAGTGCTTTATAAACCAGTAGCAATATTTTGAAATCTATTCTTTGACACACAGGAAGCCAGTGTAAAGACTTCAGAACTGGAGTAATGTGATCCACTTTCTTAGTGTTAGTGAGGACTCGAGCAGCGGCGTTCTGAATCAGCTGCAGCTTTCTAATAGATTTTTTAGTGAGACCTGTGAAGACACCATTGCAGTAGTCGAGCCTACTGAAGATAAAGGCATGGACAAGTTTTTCCAAATCCTGCTGTGACATTAGTCTTTTAATCCTAGATATATTCTTTAGGTGATAGTAGGATGATTTAGTAACTGTTTTAATGTGACTGTTGAAACTCAGGTCAGAGTCCATGACTACACCTAGATTACTGGCTTTATCTGTTGTTTTGAACATTGCACACTGAAGCTCAGCGCTAACTTTTATACGTTCTGACTTGGCTCCAAAAACCATTACCTCAGTTTTATCTTTGTTTAATTGGAGAAAGTTCTGACACATCCAGTCATTGATTTGTTCAATGCACTTACTCAGTGTTTGGATGGTTCATAATTTAGCAGGAGGTCAGTAATGTATTTTGGGCCTAAACCATTCAGTGCTTTATAAACCAGTAGCAATATTTTTGAAATCTATTCTTTGACACACAGGAAGCCAGTGTAAAGACTTCAGAACAGGAGTGATGTGATCCACTTTCTTAGTGTTAGTGAGGACTCGAGCAGCGGCGTTCTGAATCAGCTGCAACTTTCTAATCGATTTTTTAGTGAGACCTGTGAAGACACCATTGCAGTAGTCGAGTCTACTGAAGATAAAGGCATGGACAAGTTTTTCCAAATCCTGCTGTCACATTAGTCTTTTAATCCTAGATATATTCTTTAGGTGATAGTAGGCTGATTTAGTAACTGTTTTAATGACTGTTGAAACTCAGGTCAGAGTCCATGACTACACCTAGATTTCTGGCTTTATCTGTTGTTTTGAACATTGCAGACTGAAGCTCAGCGCTAACTTTTATACGTTCTGACTTGGCTCCAAAAACCATTACCTCAATTGTATCTTTGTTTAATTGGAGAAAGTTCTGACACATCCAGTCATTGATTTGTTCAATGCACTTACTCAGTGTTTGAATTGGAGCATAGTCTCCTGGTGAAATTGTTACCTAAATGTGTGTGTCATCTGCATAGCTATGGTAACTTATTTTGTTGTTCTTCATTATCTGAGCCAGTGGTAGCATGTAGATGTTAAAGAGAAGAGGCCCCAAGATGGAGCCTTGAGGAACCCCACATGTCATATTTGTCAACTCAGATTTGTATTTACCTATAGAAACAAAGTTGTTTCTGTTCTTTAAGTAGGATTCAAACCAATTTAGAACTGTTTCTGAAAGTCCCACCCAGTTTTCTAGTCGGTCTAGTAATATGTTGTGGTCAACAGTGTCAAACGCAGCACTGAGATCTAATAATACTAACACTGAAGTTCTGCCACTGTCTGTGTTTAAGTGGATGTCATTAAAGACCTTTACAAGAGCAGTCTCAGTGCTGTGGTTTGGATGAAAGCCTGACTGGAACACATCTAAACAGTTATTTAAATGCAAGAAATTACTCAACTGTTGAAAAACAACTTTTTCAATGATTTTACCTAGAAATGGGAGGTTTGATAAGGTTAATTGATACAAAAATAACAGGGTTTTAGTGGGTCCTTAAAAGTTTTAAATTCTACTGTCATGAAACTGGTCTAAAACTTAAGTCTTAAGATGTATTCTCTACTTTTGTGTTAACTGCAGGTAATCAAGGTTCGGTTATTTCCCATTTCTTTATTTACATTAATTTATATTAAATATTAGTTTGTATTTGTTTAAACATGAAATAAATGCATGTGCTTGCTTATACTCACTCTAAGACGTATTTAATACGGACATGTATACTCTATTATGTGGTCTAAAAAGTTATTTACCCCTAAATAAATTGACCTCTTATATCTATAAGTAGCCACTTAAGTGTGTCTAAGTGTGTGGTACAGGCTTGGAATTTCGTCATTTTAGGGGCAAGGCCATTTGGCCTTCCCGTTCACATTTTTTTCAAGGGCACAAAGGCCACATGACAGGGCACAAAGGCCGTTTGGTTAAATTACGCTGGTCAATCAACATGACTGAAAAGTGTAGCACTAACGTCAACACCAGTCGTTTTACAAATGGCTGAATAGCAATAGTGTTTCTTTAACGTATACCTTAAGTTCAGCCATAAACCACATAAGTCAGTCATGTATTATATCAAAACCGCTTAGCAAGAAAAATACTAGATTCAAAGGTGACAGCTATCTGCTAGCTTGTAGAAGCAACACTAGATGTAGACCCCTTGAAGGGAAGACGTTAGCGCTATCCAAACTAGCTAGCTATCGCTAGTTTTCATGACAAAATGTAACGAGTCAACTTTAAATAGGCTAATACAATGGTAATTACCTATCAATAGTACTTTCTATAAACACGTAAATGTTAAGTCCTTTCAATACTACCACATACTTCAGTTAAATCATATCAAAACAGCTTGGTCCGCTTGCTTACCTGTGCTTGTCTTGCTCCCGCGGCTGAGGAGGAGGCTGTCGGGCCCCTACAGGCATGTCTGACGGAACAATCACAGCAGAGCAATCGCTCTGATCCACAGGGCACAGGCATCGCCCGGGACTATCCTACTGCGCGCACTAATATGACTTTACTAGCGTTGTTTACACTGGAACTTTTGACAGGGGCACCAAGGCCACTTTGGCCGTGAATTGCATTTTTTTTCACAGGGCATCACGGCCAAAGTGCGGGGCAACGACGGCCATGGCCGTCGTGGCCGTCGTGAAATTCCCACCCTGGTGTGGTATACACACATGGGGTATACACTGGTTTTATATTGCACTGAGGGGTGGATATCAGTTTTTACAAGCATTCTGGTTGAAATGTAAATGTGAAACAATGTCTGGATCGGTTCAGAATATAGGCTTTAATGTTATCTTGTCAAACAATATTCTGCAGTGGGCCTACACTCAAGCCTTGGATTAATGTTCTCACCTAAGTGACATTTGGATAGTTCTTATTGGACAATTTCACACCTGGAGGCAGCCATGTTTGTGAACCCAGGATCGTGTCATATGACACTATCCCGTAGACACAATACAGGACAGCAGCTGTGGCTCCTCTCCTGTTGAAATGAGGTGGAACGCTGTCTGTCATTCTCTTATCTTGCTGCTCTCTAGCTCCAGACTGGGTGTGATTCTTCTGTAAATACTTGAGCTGCAGAAAAGCCACTCCTCCCTGAAATAGATGCATCTCTTCATGCCTCGCACGTGTCCTACAATCCTCCGCTGCACTCTAATTACTTTAGAGTTGATGTTTTTCCGCTGGGGAGTGAATGTTGCCTTTCAAGTGTCATATTGTCTGTCTCCAACCCTGTTTTCCAACCCAGTGCTAAGTGGAAAGTGTCACCACAGTTAAAAACACTAAGAGGTGCCAGTACAGTTGACAGGGGACGGCCCATAATCATATGTTACTTGTTGGACTAGACATTATATTACATTTAATTAAAAAAAGTACCTGTACTACTAACCATTATTTTAATTTCCACCATCTTTTTATTCTTTAATTATAATATTGAGTTGTCATCAGCTTTTCTTTTTTTTGTAACATACCTACAGACATTAAGTTATATTATATTAGTCCTCTGTATTTTCTTTAATAAAAAATGTATTTCATCTTTTTATATATTCTATTATCCCTACTTTCAATATCTCTTTGTTTCTTTTTATTTTCAGTAGATTTTATTGAGTTAATTATAGAATAATACATATCTTATATTATCTTTGCTATTAACATCTCTTTATTTTTTTATTATCAATACATTTTCTTTTGTTATTTATAGAAGATAAGTTATATTATATTATCCCTCAGTTAACATGTATTTATTTCATCCTATTATTAGTATATTTAATCTTCTGATATATTCTATTATCCCTACTTTATTTATTTTGATTTTCAGAAGATTTTATTTTGTTATTTATAGACTAATTGTAATTGTCCCAACATTTTACATTACATATGTCACACAGTTCTAAAGTTGCTTGTACTTACCCACTTATTGGTCTTTATTTGTATTCTAGTATAACTAATGTGTGCTTTTCTTCTATATAAGAATATGTTAATGTTCTGTGTTATTGCATGCCTTTTTTTAACTGCTTTGCCACTTTTGCTGTAACAATGTAAATGTCCCCGCTGTGGGACTAATAAAGGATTTCTGATCTGATTCTGACTATTAGATATCTCGTTGTATTCCTACTTTCAATATTGTTCTATTTTGTTATTAACAGTATATTTATTTTGTTACTTATAGAATATTATATGTTATATTATTCCTACCATAAACATCTCTTTATGTAATTATCAGTCATTAACAATGTTGTGTTTGTCTGTCACATGTTTTTTTTCAATTATATCTAGCATATTGAAGTCACATTGAAATTGTAACAATAACAGTTTGTCCTTGAGAAATCAGTTACCATACAAAATGTCAGGACAGGGACTTTGATGAAGTGACTGTAAAAACAAAGCACTCTTCATGAGAGCAGAAACAAAGACCAATGGCATAACATCCCCCCCCCTCTCTGTTTCCTGCCTCTCTCCACCAGGAACTTCGACCAGATGAGTGTTTGCACAGAGTCGGACTGGGACCCCGAGTCCTCCTCCATGATCAGCTTTGACATGAACCAGCCACACCACCCTTCCTCACCCTCCAAATTCTTCAAGGTTGGTTTTATTCACACATTTATAATCAGTGTTGGAGTAAAAAAAACGAAACTGTTTTGGATCAGTTTGTGTGTGTGTGTGCATATTTCAAAAGTGCAGTGTCTGCAGTCTTATAATAGTTGTCACAGCAGCTGTAAAATGCTTAAAAACAATCTTGAGAAAAGCATTGATTTCATGACTTCAACCTCATATTTCTATTTTTCTTTTTTCTTCTTGCAATAATCTAACAGATGTAATAGTTCTGTTGCTGTTGTTGTATAAAACAGAGGTAGGAAATATATTGACAACCAGCAATTGTTTCTGAGAAACTAACACTTTTGTAAGGCAAATAAACAAGGAATGTAAAATTAGAAATAAATAGTAATGTTGAGTATGTTTTTACTTTCTTCTACTTAATAGTAGTCAAGTACTTTTAAAGAACATTTTGAGGTACTTGTTGTTTATTCTTTTTATTTTTGCTTTTGCTACTTAAACTTCTGCTCCACTAAATCTCAAATGGAAATATTGTACTCTTTATGTTAACAGCATTTCTTTCAGTTACTAGTTAAATGCATAACATTCTTTATGCAAAACATATGATGATCATTTAAAGAGGCCCTCTTATGCTTTTAGGGTTGTCCCTTTATTTGCTCCTGTAGTGTGTTATATAGGGTTTGCATGTAAATGATCTGTAAAGGCTAAAATCCCAAAGTTCCCCTTGACTGAAAGGCCTCCATTGGACTCTTTTGTTTACTTACCTGACACAGGGTGTTTCTCAATCTCAAGTACGCTTGCTTGGTAGCACATGTCTTCCGAGTCAAGAATACTTCCTGGCATTCGGAAAACGAAGAGTGGAACAGGCAAGCAAGTGTGCAGGTGTGCGTCATATATGAGAGGCCCCGCCTTACATTTTCCGCCACAGATTTGGGGAAATTGGTCCGTGCGCAAAGCATTGTGGGGATTTTAAGACCGCGGAGTCTACACATGTGCAGCCTCGACATTTCTCCAAACGAAGTACGCCGGACTCGGTAGAATTCCAAGTATGCTGGACATTGGAACAGTCCTTCGGCGGGACTCGATTACGTAGTATGCTTGAAATAGTGGCTCTGGAGCAGCTTTACTCGAGATTGAGAAACACCCATAGTGACATCACTATGTAATACTCGCGCTTATTTTGGCTAACGGTCTTACACATTGAACTTGATAGGCTACGGGGCGGGACATCTCTAAGTTGTTGATCAATCACAACAGAGCCGGACAGCTAACCAATCAGAGCAGACTGGGCTCTGGTTTCAGACAGAGGGTGAAAAGAGGAAAATTAAGAGCTTTGTGAACATTAAAGCATGTAATCCTGTCCCAGTAGAGACACTAAATACAAATATGAAGCTGGAAATGAGCACAACAGGGACCCCTTAAAATATCATGCACTGTTTTGCAATAAAGTTTGGGTCGCATTAACTAACTACTAGAGAAATTGATTCATTCAAATGAATGCATCTGCAATAATAATTCAATAATATATAAAATAATTCGTCTTAGAGGGGCAATTTCTTCATTATTATTTTCTTCATATGTTATTTTACAGTACATTTGATATTTGAAGTACTTTTATCTATTTATATTTAGGTTAAAGTAAGATGATGTCCTTGCAGCACAGCCATCTCAGCTAACCGCTCACTAGCTGATATCAGCTACTGTTAGCAACATACCTGAAAATACAATTTCTCCTTAAAATATGATGGAGTTTCAACAAAATCAACGTAGTCCCGTAAAGTATTAGGCACTTCTTCAACTTAACTACATTTACGTATTGCAAAAAAAAGAGATTGTGGCGAACAGTGGGACTGAGGAATTAATTCTCATTACTTCGAGTCAACGTAGCATTAAAAGGATTTTGATGCTGGTATTTTAAGGTAAAGATAATTACATATTCCCCGTTAAGAACTTAAACTATGTCTTCTGTAGTATTACTAAGGGGAAATATTATAGCTTTTTGTAGCTGTTTTGACTTTTCCGAGGTTTCTTGTTTAAGTGACCATACTTAGCTTCCCATTCCAGATCATTCTCCAAATTATGACTTTCACACTGCTTTCTCTCACGTCTGCCTCCAGGGAACAAAGCTTAATGCTAAGTGACAGACAGCAAGTCATATCTGATTTAAAGTAGACATTTAGTGACAGTGAAAGTGTGCCTCCACTTTAAGATAAGATGACAATAGTCCTATGGGATCTCTTGTCTGTGTGCTATTATCATCAAACCCGTCAAACCTGCTCCTGGATATATTTGTGTCGGTGGGAGTCGTTAGGGAAGTGGTGAATGTTCCCAGGTTTAATATGACAGCCATCCCGCCTTGTTTACACTTTGGCATGGAGTCTGAAAGATCCAATACCCTGCTGTACTTTGGATCACACTATTGTTCCTGTGTTTGCCTTTATTATTGTTTATTATCGGCTGCTGAGATCAGAGCATGAAGCAGAGCGTTGGCAGGCAGATAAGGAAGTAGAGCATAATGCACATATGGTTCTATATCTCCACCTACCTGACATTTGTCATTGCTGTGAGTAAATACAAGAGGAATGCTTAGCGCAGAGCTAATAGAAGCTTTGATTAGAGGGACGGCAGGTAGCCATACAACACTTAAACATACACTGAACACAGGATACTTTACGTACGCTGTTTTTAGTGTTTATACTGCTTCGGCGCGTGGATTTGTGAACAAGTTCCAGCGACCCGGAGGTACTGTATCATTCTTCACTTTTTATTAAAGCAAAACTAAAATCCTTGATCCGAGAGAGGCTATTCAGTTAGGTTTTTGTGTTGTATTCTAGAAAAGAGCTGGAAAACTTGGCCACAGGCTGTCTTTACGTTCTGGTTGCTTAGGGAATTACGGTTTGACAACACTGGAGAAGAGGACAAAACCGTTTTTTATCATAAAACCTCCCAAAAACACAGCAGATAACACATTTCCTCTTGATTTGCACCGCTTTAGAAAGAGGAAGGGTGGGGCTTTCTCCACACCCTTTCAATATCACTGGATTGTAAATTCCTTTTTTGCCCTGTTTGCCATGTGAGACATCTTTCACAATATCTTATCTATACTCTAGTCATGATGCTAATGACCATGCCCTGGAGTCACTTTGTTCAGCGCTGGGACTTGACACGCACTCCCTGCAGCCAGTACTGCTTGTGTGTTCATCAGAGAGGACTATTCTATTTTCTATGGAATCTGCTACAGAAGTAGGATACTGGCTTTTGTATTTAATGTAAGACTTTTTTTACGGATCATAATCTTAAGTATTAACTTTCTTTGACAACTCGAAAATAATTCCACACTTTAGCCTCCAGGAAGTCAAAATGGTATGTACCTGTTGCTTTTTCACACTGTGGTTCATGCTTCTTGTCCTGACGTGTGCTCTTTAAGCAGGAACTGTAGTTTGCCAGGTTGCGCAAGTTGTGTTTCACGCCGGCAGAGCATTTTTCACTTTGTATTCGGTCTTCTTTACTGTGACAGAAATCCTTAAAATATAAAAATATGAATTAAAACTTCTACACAAGTCATTGCTGCTAGCTCACTCTGTTCCCATATTTTACATTAAATAATAATGTTGTTCTGATTGATTATGCGGCTCTTGTTGGTCGTAAGCCTGTGTGGTTTGATTTCAATCTCGTACTGTTTATGTACAGCTAGCTGTGATAACTGAAGTGAACCTTGAACGGAGCATCAAATAACTTTTACATCTGTCTAGTCAGTCATTAGCAAACAAACTCCAGCCGTATTGTTTTACCACCTTGTTGTTATGTGCACCAGGGTGTCTGTATTTAATATTTTAAGCCTGATTTACATATTTGAATAGGCTCTGTAAATTGTTTTTCTTTAGGCATTAGATGAAAGAGTATTGAAGTAAGCAACCTAAATATAATTGATGGGCTCTTTCATTTAATCTTTAATCCTTTAGTTAAAGGTCCCATGTCATGCTTTTCCGGTTATTACCCGTCCCCTTGTGTGTTATGAAGGTTTGTATGCATGTAAACGGTCTGCAGAGTCACAGACCCTCAAAGTACACCCTGTAGCGAGTACAACTCTAACACAGAAAAGGAGCTCCAACAAGCCGTGTAGGACAGAGAGTGAATACACATACTATACAGAGATGCTGTATGAGAAACCAATGTGAGTTTGGAAAATTGCACAATATAAATCTATTTTAGTATCCCATGACATGGGACCTTTAAACTTTAACCTGAAAAGACAATATGTTTGACAAATTGAAGGTGAACTTTTATGAAAACACAAATGCTAATAAAAGAATAACAAATAGTCAAACATTTGTCTAGTTTTGTTAAAATAAGAATTGGTCATTTTAACATACAATACAAAATATTTTCTTAAGACATAATAATTGTACTTCATAAGATCAGGCCCAGTGTTTTTCATAATGAAGCCACACTTTCTTTAACCAAAATTAAATTCCAAAGCTTATAACTGGAAGTAAATATTTATATTTTCAGAACAACACTGATTTTGGTGTTATATCAAGTAAAACTAATTGTAAATTCCTATGATTCAAATGATGTAGTAATCTGTTCCTACAATTTCTTAAGCAAAAACAAAATGAGACATGGTTCTGCCACACAGATACATGCAATTGTTATGTAATTAAAAATATATTAGTTATATTATACTAGATATTTATCCGACTTTTAACATTAATTAAGTTACAGTTTTTAAGGTGTGGTAATCTATGAAGTAAATATTGCAGTTCCTCAAAGAAAATATTTGGCAAATGATGTCTATTTTTTCTAGCTGTGGTATCCGTTGAAGAGCATATCTTTTTAGTTTTCGTTCCCTATTTTATTTTCTTCCTTTCTATCAATAGCAACGCTAGAAATGAAAGAGTTTGCCAGCTGCTCTCTCCAACTCATTGTTTATCTTTATGTCTGTCCTCCTTCAGGGTTCGGAGGAGAAGAGGGGAATGATGGATCGCCTCTCCCACTTCTTCAACAAGAGAAAGAAGAGCACTAGGCATCGCTCAGATGCCTCCAGCGATGGAACCACCCCAACATCCCCCCTGTCTCCATGTTCGCCCCTGCCCCTAGAGGAGGATGGGCTGAAGACGCCAACTCCATCTCGAAAAGACATTGAGGGAGCAGAGTATGGCGACACACTCAGCCAAAACTCGAGTCCGAGCGGCTCCAGCGTCATCTCTCTGTTGACAGGGGATGCAGACCTCCCGTTTGCAGACAGTAACAGCAGTGGCAGTGTGAGGGAGGTTCATATGTGCAGGGTCAGCACAGCCAGCATGGAGAGGAAGTCTGGGAATGTGACTCCAACCACTCTGGATCTCACTACCACAACGCAACCAAGTGCTGAGTCAGGCTTTGCAGAGTCGGTGGCGGAGGAAGTAAGCAGGAGGCTGAGCAGTTTGGATGGAAATACTGTGAAAAATACAGAGAATAAGAGCTCCACATTTAAAATCTCCCTTTCCAATGCAGCTGAGAACCCAAAGTCACCAAACTTAACCTCTATAAGCTTGGGAACAAAGACAACGTCAGTGAAAATTGGAGATAAGGGGCACAGCACCGCCTTGAGAGGAATAACTTTAGGCTCTCGTTCGTCTACCTCGCGCCCCGCCACGACCCAAAAGGAGGGCGGAGACTCTCCGTACTTAGTGAGGGAAGACAAGAGGAGGGGTCAGGTATTCTCTTGGGACACTGAAGCCTCGGATTGGAGCCCATCACCTGAAAAAGAGAAAGTGCCTGAAGGGGGTTCTCCTGTCTTCTACAAAGCATTATGGGTGGAAACACACCTGGGACCAGAGGAGGACGTGGGGAGGGAGGGGGAGAAAGAGAAGGATATAATGAAACAAGAGGAGGAAGGCTTCAGAGCAGACTCTCCTCCCGTGCTAGCTATACCTGTTAGAGTCATTCCTGAGGACGACTCTCTCCCCCAGAGCGCGGCAGACTGCCCCTCCACCCCCTCTGAGAGTCTGCCGTCCGGTGGAAGCCTGCCAGAATCAGACCTCTCCTTGGCACTGACTACAGGGGAGTTTCAAACAACAGTACCACAGCCGGAGGAGCCTGGCACAGGCTCAAAGCAAAGTTCACTTCAGGACAAACGAAGGGTGAGAGAACACCGCGTTTCGCGCAAGTCTGTGAATCTGCCTTCCAAAGTGTTTGCCCATAAGGTGCGCGTCAGCCCCGAGACAAGTTTGGATGGGGACGAAGCAGCGGAAGAGGAGCTCAGCAGAGATTCAACTACAAAGACTTCAGACGCAACACAAGTGAAACTGTGAGTTTGTTATAATTTTTCTGTGGTTACTGTTTAATAGTCCCTTTGATCCTGGGGAAAGGTTTGGGAGCTTTAGAGAGCTAAGCATGCGTGCAACCTGAGATCTGAGTTCCCATGCTCTATTGTACCAGAGGAAAACAATACAGACCTGCACTGAAATATTCATGTACAGTACATCCAATCATAGAAAACTCTGCTATAGGTTACCTTACAAATGTAATGCATGTGTTGCTTTCTTAGATATACGTGTCAGGCTTATGCTTCATTTAAATGAACCTTTGCTGTGTTTACCTATGGTGTAAGTTAGTCATTAGGAAACTGGCCAAGCAACTGGCAACTACAGCCTGAACATTTTTGTTTGACTTTAGGGTTACATGGTTACACTGAGGCACAGTAGGCATTGCATACGTAAGGATACGGCTCTCAAAAGAAAAGGGATGACTAGTGGTGTGACAACACCCTGTACATTTGTGAGTTACCGAGCACTGCAGGCTACAAATGGTCCTGCCTGGCACATACCTGAAGACTGATTTATAGTCTCACAACTATGCGTTTTTATGAACATGGTTGGGAGGGTTACTTCAAAAAATAACCTGTAAATAAATGTAATAAGTAACTAAATCTAAGTATCACAATATGAAAGTAATTTAACCTGATAACTTTGTTATTTTTAGTTGACCTCAATATCAAATGCAATGTGAATAAATACAAGAAGAAATACATATCAATAGGATGTTTTAAGGATGTCAACCAAAAAAAGTTACTTTAGAAAATAAGAAACGCAGATATTAAGTATCAAATAAGGTGTCTGTGTACTGCATTTTAAAAAAGAATAAAAGTGGCATAATAATGTACCTGTAATTCGATTACATCTTTTTTAATGTAGCTGTGAGGAATACAGTTAACATTATTCTTTTGCCAGAGTGACAGTAATGTAACTACCCCTTAAGTTATTTTACTTGCATGCAGATTATTTAACGTTTCCCAGCAGAGTAAAAAGGAATGTACTTTTCATTGTACCTTTTGAATGACTCATTCAGTGAGTGGTTGTTAATGTTACTCTAAAATGTCTATGCTTATGTCTCTCTCACTCTCTTTCCTTTCAGACTGCCAAGCCTCCAGGACAACAACAATGTGGAACTTAAGGATGCCAACCTTGAGCCATTTCCAATAACAGACGTCACAACACACTCTGAAACAAACACTCCTGAACCCCTAGTTATAGAAAAAACAGAGTCTGAGGCCTCCGATTTTGATGATATCTCTGCAAACTCAGACATGTTCAGAGCAAAGTCACAAGCGCCTGGGTCTGGGTTAAAAGGCCAAGGAACTGCTCAGGCTCAGCCCTCTAAACGAGGGGTTAAAGCAGCAGCAGAAAGTCAGCATACCACAGCAAGTGGAGCAAAGGCCCCGTCATCAGCAGCTGGCAGCAAGGACAAACTTGTGACAACAAAGGCTAAAGCCTCCACAGAGAGAACAAAAGTGGGAACTTCCAGTGATATTCCAGCACAGAGGGAACCTAGCAATGATAAAACAGCTTCTATGTTACCAACATTAAAAGACCAAATCACCAGTGGTCCCTTAAGTCCAACTGCTACAAAGTCTAAAATCCCCAAAAGGTTAGGATCGGATGCTGATGTGAAATCACCAGTGACACCAGATAAAATGCCAGTGGCTGATACTTCCGGGTCAGTGTTCACTGAGGCCTTGAAATCTCCGGTGAGTCCAACCAGAGCTGTCAGGGAACAAAGTTTTGAAGAAGCCAAGGGAGGCCGAGCTCTGTCAGGGAACATTTCTCCAACAAAAACAACAAACAAGACAGGAACAAAGCTTATTAAAGAAAAGCCAAATGAGGTCAGTGACTCTATAAAGCTGGTAAATGGCCTGGAGAATGACCACGAGGAGAGTATTGTTAAAGCAGGACACCAAACGGACAGGGAGGGTAATGCCTCCTCGGCATTAAAGAGCCGATTACCCATTTCATCTCCTACAAGAAAGAAGAATGTTGATACAACTCTAACAAGTGGCACCAACTTCAAAAGAATGACACATGATCAGACCGATTTAGACATATCCAAGACAGAACAGAAGCTAAAGCAGCAAGAAGTAATTCCTGATGAGAGGCCTGGTGGTGCATCACCACCTTCACTGCCTGAAAGTCCCAAGAAAGGTAAGTACAAACAAAACATATGTATACTGTCATTATGTCAGAATCATTGGAGTTCAATTACAATGGCTTGATTTGACTTAATAATTAGCAATTAATTCCCACAAAGTTGGCTTTTCATTTCCAGAATCCACCTTGTTTTAAACACTCTGACAGCATCCAATCAAGTTGCAGGATTTAGTTGGAAATATAGAACAGATGAATTTGTACAAGTACAAAAACCAACAAACAACCAGCAGATCAATATTGGTGGAAAACTCATTATGAATGTTTTTACACTTCGCAAAGAGCTTTAAAGGTAGGGTAGGTAATTCACTTCAGAAACACTTTTTGTTATATTCCATGGAATGCTCTTACTGTAACATCCCGATAGCAATGAATAAATTAAATGCTTTGACAATAAATATATACAAATATTTCAGCTGTGGAAGCCGTGGCACTGTAAAAAGCACGTCCAATTATCTGACTCGGCCCGCGGCAGATAACTGGATGGCCTACCTGCCTGTCAGCCTTCCATCCATCATTGGTCATGTGCACGTTTGTGTGTGTTGGAGGAGGGGCTCTGTAAGGAAGTCTGAAGGAAGGGGCAGATTTTTTTCAGTTGTGTATTTTCAAATTCTAGCGCACTCGAACTGGTTTCTCCATTCTTACCTACCCTACCTTTAATATGACAACTATTAAGCTTTAGAGTAAATATATTTTTATTTATTTTTATTTTGTTACCTTTAGATGTGCTGCTTTTCTGCTTTTTATTCTAAGCTAAGCTTATCTCCTTGCTCCAGCTTCCTATTTACCACACATCTTTTCACCTAACTTGACAAGAATGCATAAGATTGATTTGTATTCTTGTTTGTCATACAACTATTTGTTTGTGTCACAAACAGGAGGTATGCTGTCACCAAGATCATCCAATCGCCCCACTAAAAGAAGCATCAGCCAAGAAGACAGTGACACACGCGCCACTAGTATCTCTCCACCTCCCACCAAGCAAGAGAAACCCTTCTCTTCAAGGCTCTCCAAACCCAGCGACTTCAAATGCCAAAAAAGTCCAGTCCCATCGCCTGTAAGCAAGCTTCCTACAAGAGGTGAGAGAAGCCCCAACAAAGTAAGATCCAGAAAACCTTCACCAACTGAGAATTCTGTGAGCACATCCACGTCCAAACAGGAGGACTCAAATCAGAACAAAGCGTCTGAGAGTGTCAAAGCAGATCAAGTGAAAGACAATTCCATTGGTGACATATTTGTATTCGATTCTCTATCAAAAGAAGGAAAAGAGCATGCAATAAAACTCACAGACAGTATAGGTGAAAACAAAACAAAAGGAAAAGGGTCAAAAGAATTAGAGAAGAGCATAACCAGTCCTGCAACAGAGGATATTTCAAACATCCAACAAATACAAAACAATGATGCAATTATTCCAGAAAAGGCTCAAATAATAGTTACACCACTAAAAGGCTCAGGGGCTGAGGCGTTGCCAAGCAGTGATGCTGCCAAGGCAAGTCCATCTCAGATGCTTATTTCTGATGTAGTTACTGGTGCAAAACTCGATTTGCAACCCACTACAGCTCACATTCAAAGTGAAAACACCAAGCAGGAACAGGAAACAGCACCAAAGATTTGTCCAGAAGAAGTGAAAGAGAAAGACAATTCAGAGGCAACGCAGCTAATAGGTAACAGAAAACCAGATTCAATCAAAGATAGAGGCCTTCCAGAGCCAAACTCTGGCGTGTTGGCGAAGGACACAATACCCGCCTATGAGGATGTAAGTGGTATGTCAGCAAAAGCTGTTGTCGTTGGCAGCACTCACTGTGACAAAATGGCCCGTTCTGATCTGGATCATGTTTTACCAGGGAGTGTTTCCTTTAAAGAAACAAATAAGGTCCCTTCTAAGGAATATAATGGCAGAAATAGTCTTCCCGCTAAAGACCAAGATGCTGAACCAAAAGCTGTATTAGCAAGCACTTCCATTGATACTGGTGTTGACCTGGCCAGAACAGAGCAGCAAAATGAGTTATTGAAGGATCAAATTATTAAAAATGATAGATTTCCCACATCGAGCAGAGATTTATCAGATGATTTTAAAGAGAAACGTATGGAGGAGGTTGGCAAGAAACCAGCAGAGGGTTTGGACATTCAAACAGAGGCTGTGACTGTTTGTGAATTGCAAAAGAATGTTGAAAATCAGATGGACAAAGAGCCTCTTTTACTGCCAGGAGAATGTGAAAGAGATGAGAAAGACTCAAAACCAAATAAAAAGCTAAATGATACTGTGGTGGAAAGTGCTGACTCACAGAGCAGTTGCAAAAAGGAGCTGAAGCGCATAACTGTTGAGGATGAAGAAAGAAAATACCTTACAAAACCACAGAAGCCAACAGATCTTTCATCAGGAAAGAAATGTTCACAGCCTGACTCAGAGGACGGAATACAGACGGTAGTTACAGATGCCCTGGAAGAGAAGAAGTCTGAGCAAGCAAAAAGTGCACTCCAGGACAATACAACCGGTTTGGTTGATACAAAGAAGCAATGTGAGATCCTCTTAAAGGAAATTGAAGAGAGTGGTGATCAGGAAAATGATCAGCACATGAACACTCAAACTTTGGAAAATGAACAGGAACCAAAAGTAATTCTTACCAAAGATAAGAAGATCGGGGATAATGAGGCAAAACAGGGGGACAAACAAGCTGACGTTGCTAAGAAAATAAGCACTACAACTACTAAGAGTAAAACAAAGGAAGTATCAATGCAGAATTTACCAAATGAGAATTCTGAAGTTAGGAAACAAAAGGAACAGAAGACGTTAAAAGCTGGAAATCGAGATGGGGATAAAGCAGAGGAGAATGCTAATGGATCAGCAAAATCCAATGGTTCAAATGCTAACCTAGAACAGAAACCTGCAACAGAAACAGTTCCAAAGAAGACAACAAAAAGCCATTTTTCACAAATGGATACATCTCAAGAACTAAAAGCAGTAAACAGTGAAACCCAGAGTGCTCAAGGTACTACAGACAAGACTGAAACAAAAGATACACCAATCAAAAGTTTGGTGAATGAGACTCCAATTGTAAATGCTGAAGTAAGCAAACAGAAAGACCAGATGTCCACACTTGTGAGAGAGCAAGATGAAGACATTACAAGACCAGAGAAAAACCAATTCATAAAATCCAAACATCCAAAATCTAACCTGCAACAGCAACCACAGACAGACAAAACTCAAGTTCAAAAGAAACTACTGGAGGAACAGATTTCACAAGGTGATACAACTCAAGAACTCCGACCTATGTACAATGAAGATTGTACAAAAACTGACCTGAAACAGGAAGCAGAAGCGGTTCAATCAGAAGCTCCAGAGAAGAAATCAGAAAGCCGAATTAAAGATCTAAAGGTTGCAACCACCAAAACTCAGAGTGTTGAGGGAGCTAAAAAGAAGACTGAAACAAAGAATTCATCAACAAAGGATCAGAAGTCTGTAATTGCTAAAGATCAACATGAGGACATAACCAAACCAGATACAAATAAATCAACAGTATCCAAAACTCCAAGTACTGACGTGATACAGGAAGTGCAAAAATCAGAAGCACCAAAGAAGAAATCAGAAAACCAAACTCAAGAACCAAAGCTTGCAAGCACGAAAACGTTGAGTGGTAGTGTAGCTAAAGAGAAGACTCAAACAAAGGATTCATCAGTAAAGAGTTTGGTGAGTGAGACGTCAACTGCGAACGCTAGCAGTGAAGTTAGCAACCAACAGGTTCAGAAGTCTGTAATTGTTGAAGATCATCATCAGGGCATAACCAAACCAGATACCAATAAATCAACAGTATCCAAAACTCCAAGTACTGATGCGAAACAGGAAGTGATGAAAGTAGAAATGCCAGAAAAGAAATCAGGAGGACAAATTCAAGAACCAAAGGTTGTAAGCACAAAAACCTTGAGCGCTGGTGGACCTAAAGAGAAGAGTGAAACAAAGGATTCATCAGGAAAGAACTTGGTGAGTAAGACATCAACTGCGAACGCTAGCAGTGAAGTTAGCAACCAACAGGATCAGAAGTCTGTAATTGTTAAAGATCGTCATGAGGACATAACCAAACCCGATACCAGCAAATCGACAGAATCCAATTGCACCGAGGCTGACCTGAAACAGGAAGTGGTACAAACAGAAGCTCCAGAGAAGAAATCAGAAAGCCGAATTAAAGATCTAAAGGTTGTAAATACTGAAACTCAAAGTGCATCTGGTATCAAAGAAAAGACAGAAACAAAAGATTCATCAGTCAAGAGTGTCGGAGGTAAGGTAGCAAAGACATTCAAAACTCCAAAGGTATCAGAAAGCAACAGTCAAGAACTAAAGATTGCAACCACCAAAACTCAGAGTGTTGAGGGAGCTAAAAAGAAGACTGAAACAAAGAATTCATCAACAAAGGATCAGAAGTCTGTAATTGCTAAAGATCAACATGAGGACATAACCAAACCAGATACAAATAAATCAACAGTATCCAAAACTCCAAGTACTGACGTGATACAGGAAGTGCAAAAATCAGAAGCACCAAAGAAGAAATCAGAAAACCAAACTCAAGAACCAAAGCTTGCAAGCACAAAAACGTTGAGTGGTAGTGTAGCTAAAGAGAAGAGTGAAACAAAGGATTCATCAGGAAAGAGTTTGGTGAGTGAGACGTCAACTGCGAACGCTAGCAGTGAAGTTAGCAACCAACAGGATCAGAAGTCTGTAATTGTTGAAGATCGTCATGAGGACATAACCAAACCCGATACCAGCAAATCGACAGAATCCAATTGCCCCAAGGCTGACCTGAAACAGGAAGTGGTACAAACAGAAGCTCCAGAGAATAAATCAGAAAGCCGAATTAAAGATCTAAAGGTTGTAAGTACTGAAACTCAAAGTGCATCTGGTATCAAAGAAAAGACAGAAACAAAAGATTCATCAGTCAAGAGTGTCGGAAGTAAGGTAGCAAAGACATTAGAAACTCCAAAGGTATCAGAAAGCAACAGTCAAGAACTAAAGGTTGTAAGCCCCAAAAGTCAGAGTGTTGAGGGAGCTAAAAAGAAGACTGAAACAAAGGATTCATCAACAAAGCTTTTGGTGAATGAGACGTCAACCGGGAATACTAACTATGACGTTAGCAAGCGACAGGATCAGAAGACTGTAATTGCTAAAGATCAACATGAGGACATAACCAAACCAGAAACAAATAAATCAACAGTATCCAAAACTCCAAGTACTGACGTGATACAGGAAGTGCAAAAATCAGAAGCACCAAAGAAGAAATCAGAAAACCAAACTCAAGAACCAAAGCTTGCAAGCACAAAAACGTTGAGTGGTAGTGTAGCTAAAGAGAAGACTGAAACAAAGGATTCATCAGTAAAGAGTTTGGTGAGTGAGACGTCAACTGCGAACGCTAGCAGTGAAGTTAGCAACCAGCAGGATCAGAAGAATGTAATTGTTGAAGATCATCATCAGGGCATAACCAAACCAGATACCAATAAATCAACAGTATCCAAAACTCCAAGTACTGATGTGAAACAGGAAGTGATGAAAGTAGAAACGCCAGAAAAGAAATCAGAAAGAAAAATTCAAGATCCAAAGGTTGTAAGCACAAAAACCTTGAGCGCTGGTGGACCTAAAGAGAAGAGTGAAACAAAGGATTCATCAGGAAAGAGCTTGGGGGGTAAGACATCAACTGCGAACGCTAGCTTTGAAATTATCAACCAGCAGGATCAAAAGACTGTAGTTGTTAAAAATCAACATGAGGACATAACCAATCCAGATACCAGCCAATCAAAAGAATCCAAACCTCCAAATGCTGACCTGAAACAAGAGGTGGTAAAAACAGAAGCACCAGAGAAGAAATCAGAAATCCAAATTAAAGAATTAAAGATTGTAAGCAACAAAACCCAAAGTGCTGGTGGAGCTAAAGAGAATACTGAAACAAAGGTGACATCAGTAGAGCGTTTGCTGAATGAGACGGTGAATTCGGAAGTTAACCATGAAGTTAGCAACCAACAGGATCAGAAGTCTGTAATTGTTGAAGTTCAACATCAGAACATTACCAAAGCAGATACAAGAACACGCCCAAAGGCTGACCTGAGAAAAAAAGCACAAGAGAAGAAATCAGAAGGCCAAATTCAAGAACTAAAGGATGAATGCACTAAAACTCAGAGGGTAGAAAGAACTAAAGAAAAGACTGAAACAAAGGATTTACCAATGACGAGTTTGGTGAATGAGATTGTTATTGAGAATGCTAACTTTGAAGATAGCACAGAAAAGGAGCAGAAGCCCTCAGTTGTCAGAGATGAACCTTTAAGGATTAATAAACCAGAGAATGTCACTGGTCAATCCACAGATTTTAAAGCAGCCAACAAGAATGATGAGAAACAAAATAAAATTAAAGAAAGGAAAGAAGGCGTTGAAATATCAAATAAAGTGACAAAGCAGGAAAATCAGCAGAAGAAGGCATCAAAGTTAGATGCTCACCAAGAGTCAGAAAGCATTTCAGTGAAAGATGCATCTAGCAAAATAAGTGGTGCAGAACAAAAAGACAAGCCCACTGTTGTTCCAGAGATGGGACATTATAGCACTGATGCTCAGAAGAAGGATGAAGACACCAAAGAAAAAACTAAAACAGGCAGTGGTTTCAAACGGGAACAGCAGACTTTAGAAAAAGAGAAAACCAGAAACCTCAATGATCCACAAAAGCCTGCAAGCCCATCACTCAACGGCAGTTTGTCTCTTTCTGCAACAGCGGAAGCACCCGCAACATCTCAAAGTCCTCAGCTAAAGAAGGAATCTCCATCTAGTTGGTTAGAGTTAGAGCATCCGAAGCAGAAGAAGGCGCATAAAAGAATACTAAAGGCCTCGGCAAGTGAGGATGAATCTCTTGATCCTGATGACTATGATGAGTTAATCAGGAGCATTAAGGAGGGCAGCATTCCTTTCTCACTGCCTCCCAAGAAGCATATTTGTAAAAGGTTCCCGTCTCCACCTCTTACTTTGTCGCCTATCATTGAGGACCATTTTGAACCATTTGATCGAGAGCAATTCCAGTTCGGCTTAGGGAAAAATGGTGCAGGTTTTAAGGACCCTCCCCTATTATCTATGGTGATGAAACAGAAAGCAGCTAGTAGGGAAGGGCTGTTTCTGAAACGAGAACAGGATAATGCCAATTGCACATCTAGAGGCCAAATGAATTCACTTGATGAGGTGGAAGGCAAAGATGGAGTTAAAGAGGGGGATAATACTGAAAATGGACAAGAAGAGGGAAATAACAATGGACAAGAGGCAGGGAAGCTGACATCACGACTTGGGAGGATGTCCATCCTCTCCAGCTTAATGAATTCCCCTCGGTCCTCCAGGAAGGCCAAAGAGGAAGTTGCCTCTGACACAAATAGCACGCTTTCTACTCCACAACAGGACCTGCTCTCGCTTGGAAAGAAAGGAGTGTTTGATTCATTTCTGCCTGCAGATAAGAAGGGTGTGAAAGGTAAAGACCAAGGCTCACTTGTTGGTGGTGGTATAGGTGCAGTTAGTGAGTCAGCAGTCAACGCCTCCTCTCCTCCTCCTCCCGCTCTCCCGTCGTTCTCAGAGTTAAAGCAGCCTGTTCATTCAGAGAAGTACCTCAAGAAGAACAAATCAGAGTCTGAAGCCTCCAGCGGCTCTACACATATGACTAAAACTGAACTAGGTCCTAAGGGTGCGACAATGGACCAGACCCCAATAGAAGTACCAAATGTTGAAGAGAGCCTGAAGGGCCCCGCAGCACTGCCTCCAACCAGCGAGAACAGCCAGCAGACTTCCCTGAATGGACTAACTAAACCTAAGCCTAAGGTAGGAGTTTAAATCCTTTAAATTATGATCTTTTATAATACAGGTCATTTTTCGTTTTATTCAACTTTGAAAGAAAAAAAGTATAGTGGCCCACAGCCTGAATGGGTTTTGAGCTATGCCCTAACAGAAGCTTTCTCTCTTCAAGTTTGTTTCCATGGTAATATGACTCATATCCTGTCTTGTGGTGCTGTTGCAACAAAGTTATGAATGATTTACAAGTAAAGACAGGACAAAGCAGGATGGCCTCATCTAGCAGCGGATATTTGCCAAGATCAGCTAAAGCTGAACTGTCACGTCACAACATATTTGCATTTATATGCAAACAAAGCAAGACTATGCAAAACATGTGTCTGTGTATTACTGTACTTACTGCACGGCATGTGTTCAATGATCTCCCTCAATGATTCCAACACACTTGTACCTTGTACCTTAAGGGTTTTTATTTCTGCAGTTGCCAGGGATAGATTATAGTGCGGCTCTACTTATATGACCAAAAGTAATTTACCATTTGGTTTAACAAATGTTGTGTAAGCGTTATTGAATATGGTTAACAAAATTAAATACATAGCTAGAAGTAGTGGATACATGTTACAAAGTTTGCTAAAAAATTCAAATCAACATTTTAAGGAGTTGACAGCTGGGGATAAATCGTTCCTATTTCCACATATAATTCAGCTCTGAAAAAGATAACAATTGAAGTTAAATCTACTTTTTTAAGTTTAAGTTCCTGATGAAATGATTACATTTTCTTTCAGACACCTGCAGTAAGAGGGTTCCACAAAAGGCCTGGAAAGGTATGATTACATGTTATTTACTAGCTTTTTTCCTAGAGTTTTGAGTCAATATTATGGTGCTTGCTGCTACATGTTCTAATGAAATGTCTATTTGAATCCAGATTGTCGTACATGAGCAAGACCAATTTGGAGGGCAGCAGTTTGAACTGTACTGTGATGTAGAGGATGCCACCACGATGAAGCTGTCCCCTGTCATCTCAGTCAGAGTCATCAGAGGATGGTAAGTGTATTTGATATATATTTTAGTCTCTGTTGGTACTTGTTGTTTCAGATTCATCCCATTTGTTTTTTGTTTCTCTTTGCCCTTATAAACATCTAACAGAGTGATCTACAGGTGTAAAATGTCTCCTTCCATAAACTGCAAGATGACTGACAATGTAACTCTCTTTTTCATTAGCTGGCTGCTTTATGAGAAACCTGGCTTCCAGGGTCGTATCATCGCCCTGGAGGAAGGTCCTATGGATCACTTAGTGAATATGTGGGCAGAGGAAGGGACCCCGACCACACCAGATGCAATGGGTCAGCCTGTACCAACATCACCTATGGTCATAGGCTCTATTCGACTGGCAGTTAGAGTACGTTAACCTGTCATACTGTTTACATACTGTTATTGTAACTGTGTGTTCTGTTATGTTGTTTCCAGTCACGTATGATCCCTGTGGAATTTGTTAAAAAAAGTCCTGAATATTGTACCTCAATAATTTATTGGTAAGTATTTTATTTTTTTAGCAGACCGTTTGTGATCTAACTACTGTATATATTTTTTATTTTATACTGTATTTTATGTGGATTTCTTATATTTAAATGTACCAATAGAAAAGTATGGCTTCTTTTTAAATGCATGGGCACTGATACAATTCAAATGCACAATATTTTATTTTTATTTTGTGTTTACAGGACTATAGCATTCCCCATATTGACCTGTATCCTGAGGTCAATGGGATGGGGAGGATGACCTCTTACTATGAAGAGACTGTGGAGATTGGCTCGTACAGTATGCCGCAGACCACTGGCTCCATTAAGGTTCATTCTGGAGTGTAAGTTCAACCGACTCATTTAAAGTAACAATCTATGTAAATGTGGTTGTTGCATTTTGGAAACATATTTCAGTTTCAATGTTGGTGTCATCCCTGCCACTAAGTGGTAGTTTTTAAATCAAACTCTGTCGATGAAGGTATGCACACAGGCTAGAGCTTGCCATTCTTTAAGCATAGTTTTAACTCTTGCTCATGATTGATGGTTATCTTACTTTCATTGTTCTACTAGATTATAGGTGAAGTACAGTATTTTGTCCTTTTACTCATGTGTAATATGATAATACAGATGTGCCTGTTCAGAGCACTGCGAAGGGAGATTCCCTCAGCAGAAAGTTCTCTTCCCTCCCTTTCCCCTTTGTCATGCTGTGTCTGTGTCTCCAGCTGGTTGGTGTACACTGATCCAGGGTTTGGAGGGTTTGTGGGAGTGCTGGAGGTGGGGGAGTATCCCTGCCCAGAGGCCTGGGGCTTCCCTCAGCCCTTCATCGGCTCGCTCAGACCCCTCTGCATGGTACAGTTTATATAAAGTATAGAATATGTGTTTCCACTATAATGTCATTTTGTAAGTTGCCTTGGTCTGACATGTATGTGTATCTCTTCATGACAGGGAGCGATAAAGGTGGAGCATCCTCATGAAAGAAAGGTGTGTTACATTTGTTTCATCTATACATATCTGCTGTTTACAGACACCACGGAAATGCCAACACCAAGTCTTAGATGTTCCTTTTTTTAACCATTAGTTATTAAATGTTTTAAGAGGAAACTAATGGTTGACAAGCAGGGAAAATTACGTTTTAAACTAAACAATTAATTATAAAATTAATAGTTGAAATATTTAGGGGAGCTGACTAGCTGAAGTTACCCAATAGCAGCTTTTCATTTATTTATTTGTCTAACCCTGGAACCATTGAAAGCAACTTTTGTTCCTGGTTCCACTAAAAGTGTTTGTTCCCAAAGGAAATATACACTAAATGTCCTACATACAGCTCAAACGCAATACTCAAAGAAATAAAGACTCTGTCTAAACTGTTTTTTTTTTGTGTACTTCATGTATTCTACGAAATGCAAAAAATATAGATATTGGTGATCCATTTTGACCAAGTCTAATAAATCCATGAAGTTCCTTCCTTATTTGTAATCTATGAAACAGGTTTGGGAACAGAAAGTTGTGGCTGTTCTTATTTTGGCCACAAGATGCTGACATGCACCACTACCACTTGTTATAAATAGGATTAACATGTTTTCTTGCCAACATATATGTAATATTAAATTACTTGTAGACACACAATATATGTACGTTTTATTAAGAGTGCATAGATTGGTGCACTTCAACCTCTTTTTGTCCAAACAAGTATTACAACAATGCTTTATTTCACCCAAAACGCAACATACTGAGGATCCTTGCAAAACCTTTTTTTCAATTGCCCGCTAGAGCTTCCATTGTAGGCTGGATGTCACTGTAACTTGAAGAATGATTTTCATTATACTTTAGGACAGAAATGAGCCAAACCATACACTAGGGGAACAAACTCTGTAGACCGATACACTTCCATGGCCTGTCTTTACAATGACCTCTCATCTTTAACTCCTTCTTTCCCCAGGCCTTAGTGTTTGAGAAGCCCAACTTTGACGGAGAGTGCATAGAGGTAGAGGGTGATGTGTACAACTTGCAAGAAGAACTGGAAGAGGAGAAAACGGGCAAACCAGAGGAGAAAAAGAAGACCCTGTCTGCAGTGGGTTCTATAAAGATACTTGGCGGTTTGTAAGTATCTGTCTGAGTTTATTATGTTTGGACACACTTTCATTGATTCATGGCTAAATTGGCTCCAGAGCTACACGACTTTGGAACTGTTTGCACCCCGTATGGAGCCGTTTCAAAATACTTGAACACTGTTATGAAACATATTTTGCCAATTCTGTAATGATTGACTTTAGCCTATTTATGTGCTAAGCCACACCCCTTTAAAGTTTGATATCTTCAAAGCATTAAAACATGTCAATACGCTCATAATAGGATTCATGGTAAATGTTGATAGTAATCCGACCACTTGTCTAGGTAGATATTCTCAGTTTCTTCTTCAAAAAAAACGAGATGATTGCTGAAAGAAATTGTGAACTTTTTGTGAATTATTTCCGTTCTGTCCTTGCAGCTGGGTGGGTTATCTAGAGGGGGACTTTGAGGGGCAGCAGTACATCCTGGAAGAGGGGGAGTATCCTCACTGCAGTGACTGGGGGGGGTCTGAGGATGGGCTCCTGTCACTTCGGCCTGTGTGCACAGTAAGTGTCACCTGTAATATAATACAAACATTAATCTGCAAGATCTTGTTTCATTGATGGGGTGTTTCTGCATTGATTCAGCTTTCACAGTGCACTGGTCATTTCATCAGTTCCCGCTCTGCCCCTGTTGATTCTTAATGAACTGGAAACCTGAAAGACTTGAAATGAGAGAAGTAGAAAAAGTTCCCTTTCTTATCATTTCCCTGTATTGTGTTCCCTAGGATTACCTCTCCCCTCACGTTAAACTGTTCATGGACCGGCACTTTGATGCACGAGGGCTCAATGTGGACTTGCTGGGACCTGTCCCCAACATGCAGGACGTCGCCCATGGTTGCAAAACACAGTCTGCCAACGTCATGGGTGGAGTGTAAGTAGAGAAAAAAAACTCCCATAGTAAGAAGTCATAAAAAAGGAGAGAAATAGTTAGACCCTCACAGTGTTTGGGCGTGTTCCTCTTACCATCCATACGTGACTCAGCACTCTGTCACTGTGGGCACAAACAAATACACACTGGAGGATATCATTAGGAATAATATTGTGTAACTGATCCATTCGAGTAATTAATAGGGTGTGGTTGACAAAGGATACAAATCTCTCGAGGGCAAGGATTTACACTGATAGGAATAAGTAGAGTGCCTATTTTGTTACAAAAAAATATATAAATTACAAGCTTATTTTCTAAGTTTCAGCAAAGAGACTTGATTCAGGCACAGCACATACGGCACCGTTTTTTAAAATCAGTACCTAAATATTTCACAATGGGTTGTATACAATTTTTAAGTGAGTTATTCATATAAATAATATATTTGAAACCAATTTTTAGGGAGCAGATTTTTGTCACATTTGACCTGAGTGGATTTGTTTAGTCATCTTTTATAATGTTCTGCTGTTTGCTTTGCATCAGCTGATTAGTTTTACAACCTCTTAGAAGAAAGGACTTTATGTTTTTATGACGGCAGCCTTCAGTCCAAGTCAGTGATTTATTCAGAGGGACAGGCAGATTACGAGGAGACAGTCTCACCTGTGTTTGTCTCCAATAAGATAAGATAGGAACAAGATGAATGATCCCTAGATTGGAAAGGTAGAGTGTCACAGCAGTCCAAAGACACATCATTAAGTACAGTTAATATAGAAATAAAACAAAAAAATAAAGAAAATAAGATATACATAAGAGTAATCACAATAACTGAAGGAAGTTTGTTTTAATTTGGATGCATTTTGAGCACATTATTTGGTTTCCCTCTTATTTTGTTAGGCAACTTTGAAAACAATTCTCTTTATATGTCCAGATATTTTTTTGTATTACTCAAACCAATAATCGATTATTGTTAGGAAAATATCACTCGACACCAGGTTGAGAATCAATAATCAGGTACTCGTTTATTCTTGCAAGAAGGAGCAGAGTTAAATCACATACAAAGGATATGGGTTAACTCACACACATGGGGTATGTTGCTCACCGGAGCAGCAAAAGGCTTATATAGTCCAAAACACGGAGATAGATAACAACAAAGTCGTAAATCGAGGTGGCGCTAATATCATCAGCAGGTGTCGGAAAGGTGTCGGGGTCATCTGCAATGTCTTCTGGAAAAAATCACGTTCTTCCTTCACGCCTCATAGAAATTAGATATTTAGGAGACAACAAGTATGTGTCTGTCTTCTCATAAATATCAACAACCTGAAATGCCCTGCCTCCTCCTATCACAGCAAGAGGCAGCTGCAAGGTCATACACAGTGCAGAGTCACACATAGTATCAGTGCATTAAAACAACCCATAATTGTATTTTCTCCAACATATCCCTCCTGTTCATACTTCGTATAACATAGAATTTGGAAAATACAAATGATTATAAAGATTACAAATTAATATACAAAAGTACCCAAACGGCTGAGGTAGGTAGATTGTATAGGCACACGTTCTAATGTAATATGAATGGATGCCATGGCCTAATTATTTTTTCTTTGATACATCGTCAGTTTCTATCACAAAGAAAATAGTTCCAATTTCTTTGAAAGGATGACTACTAATCGATGAATTTTTGCACCTATGTAGAATAACGTAATATAGAATAGCACAGCAGTATAGGAGAGTATCACATGTGTTATATATATTAAATGTAGCATAGTATATCATTGAATAAGTACAACAGAGAGCTAATGAAGGCAGAGTTATTTGAGATGTTTGTGTCCCTGCAGGTGGGTGTGCTTTGAGCAGCCCGGCTTCAGTGGAGAGCTCTACGTCCTGGAGAGGGGCCTCTACGCAGGCCCTGAGGACTGGGGGGCCCAGAACCCCAAGATCTCCTCCATCCAGCCGGTCTTCCATGTAAGGAATCATGTGGTGGATCAGTTAACGACAGGATGTGGCTAATTTCACTTGGGGGTAGTGTTGGGTTCAGCTGTTTTAATAAGGACTGTGTGAGTGAACAGCTTGTGTTAATAACTCCTTCCTGTCGGTTTTATAGGACCCACTGATGGGAACGACTAAATTCAAGGTATCATCCTCTCATCGGAGACTTTCTAATAACAGATTAGCTCATTTTTTTGTTCGGGCTAAGTTTCTAAATTGTGTTTCTCAATGTGTCACAGATGCAGCTGTTTTCTGAGGCAGACTTCCAGGGCAGGCTGGTGTCTCTGGAGGACAGCACAGCGGCTCTGGATGAGGACTTCACCCCCCGGTCCTGTAGGGTGCTGGCTGGCAGGTAGGCACCGCTGAACTGAACCAGACCCCCCCCCCCCCCCCCCAGAGCTGTCAGGGACCCTCTGGGTGTAAGAGATTTGGACTTGGCTGAGGAAAACCCTTTTATTTATTTAGCGCCAAATAAAAAACCTTTCTTTTGCCAGATAAAAACCTTTCGTTTAGTTTAAATTCCACATGAATCTCTCTCTCTGATTGGACAACTAACAAGCCCTTATCAAAAACACAGTGAATAAAATGAGCAACATTTGAGGGACCCAAGTTTCATCTTTCGTCTCAACATAGTTGTAAAATGGTTGGATATGAAAGAAAACGCTAATACACGTAAAAAAAAGAAAATTGAACAGGAAGTCCATTTATTCCTATAGGAACCTATATGATCTCATATGCAACACTTCTGCAGGTTATTTTAGGGAGATTGTGTGCATTTGATTCAATATAGTTTATTGACTAGGTTGGGAGTCAAACTGTGTCATTGTATAGTTAAAAGAAACCACAAGCTGGTTTGTATGTCCTTTATCTGACTTGCTAATGCTACGTACACAGCAAAAAACAGCTGTAAAGAAATGTGTTTCCTTGCGACCAACACTGTTTGCAAACGAGGCTTTAGAATGTGTGTTTTACAACAATTGATTTGAATGGTACAGAGTTATTGTCACAATTGAAGAACAATAATAAGTGTGTACTTATACTCACTGTACTGTTTGTCTCTCTGTGTCAGCTGGATGTTATATGAAGGGGCTCAGTTCACAGAGAACATGTATGTGTTGGAGGAGGGAGAATACCCCAATGCAGAGGCCATGGGCTTCCTGTCCTCAGACTGCACCGTCCGCTCCATACAGACCACGGGACATGTGAGTATCTGCTTATATTCAAAACTATTTGTGATCAAATCATTGTGGACTAGACTAATAATACATGGAAATATCTTCTTCTCTTCCTTGCTTAGGAGTTTTCTCTGCCCTCCATCGTGCTGTTCAGTAAGGTGGGCTGCAGGGGTCGCAGGGTGGTCCTGAGTCATGAAGCTGTGAACCTGCAGCAGGCCGGCCTGGACACACGCACACGCTCCCTGGTGGTGGAGGGAGGAATGTATGTCAATATTTAAGATATCTTCTATTATCTTTTCTGTTTTTATAAAGAGACAGTCAGCAATCTAAATGGAAACAAATCAGTATCCAAGCAATCAAAGTCTGCTGTTATAAACTTGATTGACATGTCCTTAAATACCGCCCCATGCTCTAACGCAGAGGAGCACAAAAGGATTCAGTGGAAAAAACATTCATTTCTCAGAAAGGTTTAACAAGCACTCATGAAATTCCCTTAAATGGTGTTAGCTTAGCTTTTAGAAGCACACGAGTTCTCATTAGGAGCAGTAAACATATCAAGGATGTGAGGAAGCCACAAGGTGTATGTCACAGCTGTAGACCAGGGAGCACAGGGGGAATGTAAAGACTGTTCATTTGTGATTTGCTTGTCATTGTGCCATGCTTTCTCTGCACATGTGTGAGTCTGAACTAACACAGAGGGCTGTCCTCTCTCTAGGTGGGTGTTGTATGAAGGCAGTAACTTCCGGGGTCGACAGCTTCTTCTGCAGCCGAGTGAGGTGCTGGATTTATGGAAGTCCAGAGGCATGCAGCAAATAGGATCCCTGCGACCTTTAGTCCAGGTATGGAAGGAGGGATATGAGCCAGGGTTATTACAGCAAACTCAAACATAAAGGAAAAAAAGCTTTACAAAATATGTTAGTAGACTGCAACTAAATAAAAACCATATCCTTTATTCAAATCAAGACACATTCAAATAAAAACAAGGTGAATTGTTTTTCAGCTTTAGATTTTCTCTAGCTATAATATACTGAAAAAAGAGACGGCATGAATTTCCGTCAACTTTTCTTACTTGGAACAAAATAAATGACTTGACATTCTATTAGATTGTGCTGCAATTGCTCAACATATGACACATTACACATTATGGACACATTACACATTATGGACATGTTTGTATTGATGTAGCTTCTACATGTAGCAAGCCCTTATAAAATCATTTGAGGCTAAATTAATCGAATGCACATACAAAGCACACTGATAGTAACATATAAATAAAAAATAACAATTGAACCTTTAAAACTCTTGTAACCTTGATATAATTATATATATCATATCAAACATATTTGGTGTCCTTAGTGTTGTACATCAAGTTAGAGTCTGATGGATGTATTGTATGGAACATAAAACACCAAATTGTCACATTAGTCAAGTCAGATCAATAAAACACGTGTTGTTGGCGTCTTATATAAACCAGATGTGACCCTGGGTTGTTGCGTGTTCCCCCCCCAACAGAAGCAGATGTACTTCCGTCTGAGGAACAGGGAGACAGGAAGTGTGCTGTCTCTGACGGGGACTCTGGACGACATCAAGCTGATGAGGGTTCAGGCTGTGGAGGAGACGGGGGGGCTGGAGCAGGTCTGGCTCTATCGGGGCGGGCAGATGAGCTGCAAGGTACATCAGACCCCCACCACACAATATAAAGCTGTAACACTGACCACGCCCCCTCTGGAAACTACCTATGGCCTGATTATCTTCAGTATATGAGCTACATATGACCCCTAAATATTGTTGGAAATACAAAGAGTTTTATGTAGTAACAGTTTTATTACTTTAAAATATGGCTGTATTTAATATTTGGTAGCATTTTTAAAGGTGCCCATGTATGTAAATAAATGATAAAAACACTTACAATGCGTTTAATCTGCATATAGCATGTGTGTATTGCATTATATAGAAAAAAGATACCAAAATAACAATTCATGTTTTGTGGTTAAACGTTTCTGTTTTCACACTTCCACAAAAAAAAAGAACAATCAACAAACATTTTAAAATCATGAACAGTTACACAAACACTTAAAAGGTGAGGAGTTCCTCTTCCTTCTGCCACAGTTTTGTTCATCTTACTGTGTTTCTGAAAACATGGGCGTGATCAGGACAATATACAAAGCAGGCACACATGTATTCCCACGAGACTTCATTCCATTCTCCGCCAAATAATTAATGTTTTTATTTCCGTTTTCTCTGGTAGTCAAGGATATCTCACACTTGGCAACAGGTTTGGATGCAGTTTGTTGGAAAGTTAACCAATGGGACGATGAGGAGTGTTTATAGTTTAGACCTCCAGGATTTCTTTACATTGCATGTTTTATTTGTTTTGCTTTTGCTACTGTTCTTACTTTCAACATTTATCTCAAAACATTATCTGTCTATCATTGCTTATTAAAATAGAGATTTTAAATACTCTCTAAAATCACATTTGCAAATAGGGGATTGTGTAGCAAAAGCAGAAGTGGATTGTAGCTTATTGTAGGTTATTTACACAAAATGAATGACTTGAAATGAAAGTTAAACGTTGTTTTGAATGATTCATGTGTATCCATCCTCACCTGCCTCTCTGTCTGCAGCTGGTGGAGGACTGTTTCCTGGAGACCTCAGGCAGTATTGTGATGGAGGGCAGCAGGCTGTGTGTCACCCCGGTGCGAGGCAACGGCAACCACCTGTGGAACATCAGCCCTGATGGTCTGGTGCACTGTGTCCTGAAACCTCAGCTGGTGCTGGAGGTCAAAGGTCAGACAGCTTTGTCTTAACTTCAAACATGTATTTGTCCAGGTACATTTTAGGAATGATTTAAAAAGGTTCAAGTAGGTGATTTACAGTCAATTCAATGAGCCTAACCCTAATTCAACAGCTCCATCTGCTGGTGTATTGAAGAGGTGCATTGATTGAACACAATATCAAAATATATTAAACAAGTCATATTAAAGTATGTCTTAAAATGTCATAGCAGTTATGCTATGACATTTTGTTATGACATGTTGATAAAAACCAAAGGAGGCTTAGTATAAGATGTCAACATATATGGTCAGTAAAAAAGTCATAGTATAGTATGTCAAACTTTTCAGAAAAAATGACATTACACAGTATAGTATGTTGAATGTTTGCATAGAGTATAGTTAGTTACTATACCATCGTGTTTTTTATTTATTCAACATACTAAAATGTTCAACATGTCAAAAATATCAGAAAAAGTCATAAAATATTCATAGTATTTCGAAAGTGTCATGAAAAAGTTACAAGTTAGTATGTCAAAAATATCATGAGAATTCACTATATAGTATGCCGAAATGTAACCTATAGACACCAGCCAGACCATGCAACCCGCTGTTGTTAGTGGACTTGGTGAACGTGTCTCTTCTTGTGTATGTAGAAATCTCCTAAATTCACCCAGTTATTTGCATATTTAAATACACTTTCAGAAAACAGGTGTAGTTTCACGGGGATAATGTTTACTCCCCTGTGACTCCCCTTAATGATCCACTTACCAGTTTGTGTCAACAAAAATGTTTACAGTGCAAACACACTGTTTTCTCGTCTTAGGTGGACATCAGTATGACAAGAACCTGGTGGTCCTGAACATATGTGAGGAAAGAGAACTGAACCAAAGGTGGACCTTGGACATCCTGTGATCTGATGAGCCTCCACTCACACTGAACCCTGTGATGCAGCTCCGTCGGGGTTGCCCACTCCACAGAGAGGGAGCATCGGATCAATCGTTGCACCTTTGTGTGGAGTTCTGACTGTTGAGGGGAACCATTGACTGGATCAACAATATAACTATGTTCTTAGAGTAGATTGAATGATTGAGTTGTGTACAAATATTACATATTTCTTTGCCACTATAGACCAAAGACTCCATGCACACATCTCTATGTTTTCACTGCTTATAGAGAGGACTCAGCCCTGGTTCAATGCTGCACACTTCTCTTTACTTTATGGTACATTTCTACTGGTTCCTTTGTCTTATTTCTGATCATGTCTGCATATATGAATGTATAGTGTATATTGAGAGCTGCTGCATTATGAAGTCTGACGTGCACACTCCTAAGATGTATTCTTTTTTTTATCAATGTAGATTTAAAATATCTATTGTAGAGTTTGGATATCTTGTTAGGACTTTTCACAAGCTGTACCCTACTGCATCAAGTTGTACATAAGCATCAAGTGTATATATTTGAGATGAAATTTCCTAGCAGAACTGCAACAACTATGCTGCCCACTGCTGTAAAGATGTGAATGTATGAGAGAAAGCTGTCGCACATGAAAATAAGAATGCCGTTTTCTTTCTTTTGTCTTTTTTAGAAAATAAAAGATTTTAATAACTTGTTTCTGTGACACTCAGTTCGTTATATTAGCTATCTCATTTCAAAACAGTCATCCACACAAATGTAGAGCAGTACAGCAAAGCATTCCTCCAAGAGTCGGTGCTATGAGTAATCATCCTCTTCGCTGATCTGGACCACAGTCTTCCCTCGAGCGTGGCCTTTCTCCATCTTCTCAAAGGCATGAGGAACCTGGGAAAAACTGAAAGTCTCCTCCACCACTGCCCGGATCTGAAGAGAGAGGAAGGGAGGGGTCATATATCCTGCTGCTGTGTGAATGATGTGACTGTAACTGTGATGCTCTAGTTAAAAGAGTGAACTTTCCACATTTGTTTTTACATTTGATATATAATTATAAACACACGTGTCAGTTTGTTATCATCCCTGAAAAGTTTTGAGAACAAAAGGTGGTAATGTACCTGTCCTGCATCCACCATTTCACTGATTTCATCCAGTGCAGGACCACTAGGGGCAAAGAATCCCCAGCGGTAGTGAACCCCTTTGACGAGGTGCTACAAGAAAACGGAAGGAGAGCAAAGGCATAGAGCATTGTTACATCCTGTTACACTGTGAGCAAAGCAGAAACATTACTGGTGATAATGACAGTGCACCAAAGTCAAGTCTGAAGCTGAGATACTACTTGATTTACTGATTTCCTAATTCAGCATTCTAGCTGATCTCAGTGCTGCTAGGTCCTGTAATAAAGGACAAACCATTAGCCCTTGTGACTGGAATAGCTAATTTGTCTTCATAAATATAATTTACTTGCCATTTTCCTTTTTTTTAAATTCACTTGATCTGGTAAGACTGTTGGTATGATGGTAATGTTTGCATATTTTAGTTTTATTTCTGTGTTCTTCTGTGAGTGACAGTAGAGCTTACTTGAGGCAAAGGGTTCACAAGTATAAGTGTACAATAGTTTACAGAAGTGAGACCTATCATTTGGGTGGGTAAGTCTTAAGAGCATTAAAACAATTCAATTATAAAAAGGGGAAGTGTGTATGTATGCACCAAGCCATGACATACATGTGTAATACTGTATATGAGAAAAGATACTGAACATAAAGGGTGTGTGTGTGTGTGTGTGTGTGTGTGTGTGTTCAGGAAGTTCAAGTAATGAAGTAGTAATTAACATGTTTACTTCAGGCTAATTTAAAATGTATGACGCTGAAAAAGACGGGAGCTAATGAGAGACACTGCTGCTGTTAACTAGATCCTCCCTGTGGGAGAGCACCTCTCAGTCTTATATCACATTGTCTGAAGCACAAGGCAGTTCAAGATCCAGCGGGCTAATGTGGGCGGTATGGCTGTTCATTTTGTTCCTATTTCTACAGAAGTGGAGTGGAGATAGCATTTCTAAGGCGTCACACTTAGGGCTGTGCATCTTCACTGGTCTCACGATTCGATTACGATTATCCTGTCAACGATTCGATTCAATTCGATATCCCGATACATCACGATTCATACCAATGCGTTGAATCCTCAATTTTCTATATTACTGCACATGGCTTATTTTTCATCAATGCATACATGCAGTAAATACATATGAACTCTCTTTTTATTATTTAGAAAGTGCTTCAGAAATCAATAACATAAATGTCTTGACATTCATTTATAAACCAAAATAAATGAATTGTATAGGTCTAGCCTCCCTATATCTGTGTGTGAAGTTGTTCCATCCTCAAAAACTAAAAAATAATGCTTCTGCAGTCTAGCTGCAGCTTCTAGCAACGGCCTTCTGTTAAGAAAAGGACACTGAATGTCCTGAATGTGGCATCACTAACAACACTTGAGTCTGAACACAGCAGACAACAGGAGTATTTACATATAACAACTAAAATACTGCATGTGGGTGCACACTTACATTCTCTGTCTTACTGTTACATAAATCCTATGAATGTATGAGATTAAATTAGCTTCATTATATCTCAGTGATTAAGTGAATAATAAAGTTTCTATCGGGTCACTATCAGCCTGTCACTCATTATTTTCAGGGAGGGGGCGGGGTTTGGAGGAACGGAGAGGAGACGGTGATCGCGGGAGCTTTTTTCCTCCTGCCTTCACAAACTTTACACACGTATATATCGTCTGAAAATTGCTAGAGGACATTCATACTTTGCAATACAAGACTTAATTAAATCCACCAAAAACCTGACATGATTGTAACGCGATTATTTTTGAAAAACATAAATCCCTGTGCCGCAGCGACACGGAGTGATTCAGAGCGGGTCCTTCTGCTGTTGGTTCTGGACTGGTGGTGTTGTGTTGGTGGATAAAGCAGACTGCTCCGTGTTTGGTGTTGCTGTGCCGCTGTGCCGCTGTCACGTCTGTTCCCTGATCTCTGCGTCACCAACCGATTTTATATTAAAGTGACAGAAAAAAAAAAACGTTATAGTAAAGCCGCGGCCGGAAAATCAGGAAGCAACGTTACTACGCTATAACCGATTATCTTCCGTCACTGCATGTACAAATCTCAACCTGTCGTTCAATGGACAGCTTATAAATGTTGGCTGTTGTCAATCAAATATGGTGTTGATAATCCTGTTTCTCTTTCCCAGGTGCCAACATCTGTGTCACATTGATGATTTTTTGAAGAACTTTTTAAAATATCTTGATATACTCAACAGATTTCTTCCACCACACATCCTGTCTGCATGTAGATATGAGTCAAAGCACATTTCCTTGGTACTGAACAGAAAGGAAATTGCATCATGTTCACTTATTACAAACGTATTTAACTCCCAGACAGTAAATTCCATCTCCAGAACTTTTTCAGAACTTCAAGAAACAAAACATCTATTTACTTATTCTCAACGCCATTCATGCAAAACATCATTCTAAACACCTCAACAGGATAATAAAGCAACACACATTGGGCTCTGGGGGTAACCAGACCTTGAAACAAGAAGGAAGTTAGTTAGTGGTTAGTGCCTCGAGTCAGAAGAGGTGGTGTCATGCACACTTCAGCCACAGCTGTGCCCAGCCGTGTGCATGGTGTTCACCACAGCTCTCTGACAGGATGTTCTGATCTCCAGGGAGTGTGTGGGTGGGGGGGGGGGAATTAAGCTTATGTTCTAAAGTTGTCCTGACAGTAAAAACACATGATAATGTATGTACTAATGATGATGTTATATTTCGGGCAAGATACGTTAAATAACCTGTAACAATAGTAAATATATCACAAGTCTGCGTCATGGCCGATAGGGCTGCAACAAACGACTAATTTGATAATCGATTAATCTATCGATTAATGAAACGATTAATCGACTATTATGCCTTGCACAATTTCTCAAACGCTCTTATTTAGCCATCAACTTTTAGATTTAGCTTGAGGTTGTTTTAGGCATGTGGAAACTAACAATGAAGACAATAAAGATGAATACTTGATTCAAAAATACATATATTATTAAATTAACTAGACACATTTTGAACAAAATTAACATTGCTTTTTATTTAAATTAAATAAATAATATTTCACATCAAAAGAAACAACAGTGTTTTAACAAATCGTATTAAATAATCTGATGACAGAACTGTGAACAGAATAGCTGAAACTTTAACAAAATAAATAACTCAGTTACCTCTATCATTAACCCATGTTTGTATAATTGAGTTAACTCCGTGTGTTGGTGCTAGCATACATAACACCTGACGTGGAAACGTTACTCGTGGATGGGGGGGGGGCTACAGAGCTACTAGAAAGACAGTAGAACCTGGTGGATTCCTCCGTCTGAATGTGGTGCACTTTTGCTAAATGTTTAGACAAATTGCTCGTGTTACCGCCCTTACATGCTAAACACTTATTGCACTTTTGGCAACAAGCATTGTCCACATCGAGACAGGTAAAAGGCCCGGTAGCATTATAAAAAAAAGTAATAGCTTGCATTTATAATGTACAGCAAACCAAAGCACAAGAGCAGTGCTCAAAAGAGAAAGGACAAGAGAGAACAAGGAGATGTAACAGCTAAACTGACAAAATTAGACCGTTTTTTTTTTGTCATACATCGTCCTCGAAATCGAGCGCTAACGTTAGCAATGTTGACGTGCAGCGGCAGCCGGAGGCTAACGATAGCTCACCTGCCTCACCACCATCATTGCCATGTAGCTCCACAAGTGAAGCTGTATCCGTGGCTGTGCAACCTTCTTCTCCAGCCAGCCAGGAGGAGAGGCTGGTCCAACAGTTCCCCCAAGGGCCCCAACCAATAGGGGAACATCAAGGAAATCAAGGTGTAATCCTCTTCTTAGTTCGCTGTGCCGTTGTCAGGCTGTGGTGGTCTGAGGCCAGGGCAGGCTGTTGTTGATAGCCTATACATGTGGCGCTTCTGAGTGGTTGTGTATGTCCGTGCGTGTGTGAGCGCATCAGTGTGCGCTTATATTTGACAACGGGGAGTGAGGTATTCCCGCTCGTCTGCTCCAAGAGAGCCGCCGAGGAAGCAGAGCCGGCCTTGACGGTTTGGGGGGGATTGTGAGGGAAATAAAGAGAAATAAAGCTCATTTCCCAACCTTTTGTCTGAGTCATCAGTTTCAAATCTGTCTCACATATCCCCCACTCTGGGTGAACCAGCTGCCTATGACCTATCGGTTAATAGCCAGCAGCGTTCGTTACAAAAACCTGCAGGTTTTAATCTATCGGTTAATAAGCTGCAGAGCTCGGTAACTACGCCAGCTGCCTCCAATCTGTTGATTAGTAGGCAGCAGGGTTCGCTGCAGAGGCCTGGTGGTTATAACTTTTCGGTTATTAAACCACAGAGCTCACGGCATTCCTCTGTCCGAGATACGCCACCTACACACGGTCACAATAAGCCCATGAGCGCCGTGGTAACGCCTCATGTGGACGTCACTGCACACACCTCCACTCATCCTCTGAGCGTGTACGCGCCTCATGATGAGAGTCGGAGTGAAAAGCAGCGTGTGGAGGCCTCCTCACAGCCCTTTCGCTCTTGGCCCACCTTGGGTTGCCTCACGGGCAGCGGTAGCGAGGGCTCTGGCGTGGCTCGTCGTCATGACGACCACAACACCTCTCGAGCATGTGCGCCCGCTCTCAGAGTGTTTCTCAGAGTGGCAGCGCGTGTGTCTGATGGACAGATGGATGAGCAGGCTGATCAGCAGAGGGTACACCCTGCAGTTCGCCTCCCCGCCCCCCACAGTTCAACGGGATACAGGAGACACGCCTGTCATCCTGAGAACAGTGTCTTGCACTCCAAGCAGAGCTACGGGAACTCCTGTTGAAAGAGGCTATTTCCAGGGTTCCCCAAGGGGAAGAAAATCAGGGGTATTACTCCCGCTATTTTCTTATCCCGAAAAAGACGGGGGGAATGAGACCCATCCTCGATCTATCAGCTTTCAACGAGGCAATAATGAAAAAGGCCTTTTCACATGCTGACGATCAAAAGGGTGCTAGAGTGCGTTAACTAGGGAGACTGGTTCACCTCTATAGACCTGAAGGATGCATACTTCCACGTACCCATCATCCCACAACACAGGAAATTCCTGCGGTTTTCATTCCAGGGAATATCGTACCAGTACAACCGACTGCCGTTTGGTTATTCCCTGGCTCCTCGCACCTTTTCAAAGTGTGTAGAGACGGCACTGCAGCCGCTACACAGAGGAAAGATGAGTACTGTTTTACCTGGACGACCTGCTGCTGATGGCTCGCTCCAGGGAGGAAGTGGCTTTACAGACGGTACAGCTCATATCGTATCTGTCAAAGCTGGGTTTCATAATAAACTGGAAAAAGAGCTGTCCTCTTCCCTCCCAGAGTATTGTTTACCTGGGTGTGGAATTAAACTCGCCTGCATGAGAGCGCGACTCTTACGGCAGAGAGTGGAGACGCTGACAGCTCTCCTTCGATGCGTCACACCCCGCAGCGTGGTGACAGCCCTCTCCGAGATGCAGCTGCTCGGCATGATGGCAGCCGGTCACGTGGTGATTCCCCTGGGTCCAGAGGAGACTCCAGAGGTGGTTTATTCGCCTACGCATCGATCCCGTGCGACAGAAGAGGCGCATGGTAGCCATGCCTCTTTCCGTGGGTTCAGACTTAACCTATTGGAAAAGTCCCCACGTCCTGTCAGCGGGTGTGGCCCTGGGCAGAGTTACGTCACACATCTCGGTGTTTACAGACGCATCTCTCTCAGGGTGGGGAGGAATGTGTATGTCGCAGGCAGTTGGGGGACAGTGGCCGGCTCACATGTCCTTCCACATAAACGTGCTGGAATTGCTCTCCGTACGGAGAGTAATTCAGCATTTTGCCCCGTTGCTGCAGAATCAGCATGTATTAATTTGCACAGAAAACAGAGCCGCTGCAGCCTACATCAATCGCCAGGGCGGAGTACGCTCAGCGCAGCTTCTGAACACAGCCAGGCGGCTGTTGATCTGGGCGCGCGCACACTTGCTCTCCATCAGAGCAATGTATGTGCCCGGCGAATTGAACAAAGGGGCAGACCTCATGTCCAGAGGAGGTCCTCGCCAGGAGGACTGGAGCCTACCTTCCGAGCTGATCGCCCAGGTTTGGAGCCGGTTCGGGAGGGCGGAGGTGGATCTGTTCGCCGCACGAGGGAACGCGCAATGCGCCCTCTGGTTCTCCCTGTCAGCGCGGGGGTGGACGCGTTCGCACATCGTCCATGGCCCAGGGAACTGTTGTACGCTTTCCCACCAGTCCCGCTGATTCCCCGGTGCCTGGACCGAGTGCAGGAGGAGCGGCTGTCAGTGATCCTAATTTCCCCGGAGCGCACGGGCGCTTCCTGGTTTCCATGCCTACAGCAGCATACGCTGTCAGGCAGGCTGTGGGAAATTCCGTGGCGCGGGGACGCTCTCTCGCAGGTGGAGGGAGCGATCACCAGTCACCCAGTGATAGGCCAGCACACTGGCGCCTCAGTGGGATTTGGCTTTGGTGTTACGAGCACTAAGCAAAGCCCCATTTGAACCTTTAGAGCAGGTTCCCCTTAAAATGTTATCAGCCAAAGTAGTACTGCTTTTGGCTCTAACATCAGCAAAAAGGGTGAGTGATTTGTCTGCTCTCTCTGTGGCTCCGTCATGCCTCCGGATCCAAGGAGATGGCAGTTCGGCTGTGCTACGCCCTAACCCAGCCTTTATGCCAAAGGTCATCACAAGCTCCTTCAGGTCAAGAGTGATCACCCTGGATGGGTTTTTTCCGCCTCCTCACAAATCGGAGGAAGAAGCCACATCTCATCTCCTCTGTCCGGTGCGCGCCCTGTCTTGCTATGTGGCGCGCATGGCGGCGTTCTCAGTGCCTGTTTGTGTACTATAGAGAGCGCTCGATCGGGCAACCTCTGTCTGCACAACGGCTGTCACACTGGCTGTGTGAGGCTGTGTCGCAGGCATATGTCTCCTCTGGGGTGGAATATCAATGCGCACTCCACCAGAGGAATTTCCTCCTCCACGGCTTTGCACGGAGGAATGTCAGTGGAAGATATTTGCACTGCTGCATCTTGGTCTTCCCACTGTTCATTTATATTTGAGGGATGTCTCCCATTCCTCTCTCCACTTCTATGAGTAATGGCGTAGCCCTCTAAGTGCTGGGCCCCACTGGCTCTACGAATAGCTGAAGAAAAGTTATTTTGTATGGGAGCAGATTGTCGGGCCTCCTTCCTATTTATACCGGAAGGAAGCCCGAGGGTGGGGCCCACCTTGCGGGTGGGCGTGGACTACAAGTGTTTCAGTGCTGCGCGGGGGCGCAGGGGGATTACCCAATAGCGATAGCCTTAGAGGGCTACGCCATTACTCATAGAAGCAGGGGTTACAGTAGGTAACCTCGGGTATGAGCAGTATGAGGGATGGCTAAAATGCATGATCTGTTTGGTATTTAAAAAAAATAACTTCACAGACATGTTTTGTATAGGTATGGCCCTACAATATATGTTTCAAATATAGCATGATGATCTTCTGATGTCTATTACTGCAGGGACATTTTTAGACCAAGGAAGTTGATCGTAGTTTGCACAATGTTCAACTGAAATCCTGATATCCTGACACGTTAAAATGGGAAGAAAAAGAGTACTGCAGTAATGAGTCCTTAAACCTGGAAATGTGTCAGTATTTCGGCACACTCGGTTCTAAATCAATGAGTTTCAAACTGGATTTTGGTTAGACGCTTTAAATAAGGTATGTGGTTAACATAAGCCTGAGAGATTTTAGCACATGTCTTGAAAACAACAAGTGGCTAAATGAGACTACAAAGCAATCAGGGCAAACATGAGGAAACTCATCGACTCAGGGTGTTAAAGTTGAAGCATTGCGACCATGATGTAATTCATTTAGACACTAAAATTATATTTTTCGACAGAGTGATTACAATTATGCTTGAAAATCATTAAAGTAGAGTTCATTTGTTAAGATTGCAGGGAAAAGGTTTAATTTTCATAAACGTTTGTCTGCCACAGAGTTTATTTTTCCTTCAGTAATCCAAAAGCCAATGGAAAAGGGGAAACCAGTCCAATGTTAACTTCCAGGTTGGCATACAAACACATGTGATCCATGAAGCACTCCATAGGTACAAATCAACAGTAACAAGATGATACAAAAAGCAACATACCGTTTAGCAACATTCTGTCGCATATGCCAAGGTAATTAACATTTTGAAATTGGATCAATTCCATTTAAGGGCACAACCAGTGTATTTAATATATATATATAATATATAACTTATCAAGCTGCATCTTTGTTATCTACCAGGATTACCTTGAGGGCCTTAGTGGCCACCGTGGCAGCAGTCTGCATCATGCCGTCAGCGATGCCCAGTAAGTCAGTGTTCTGGAGGAACGGCGTCACAAGGGTTACATACTTGGCGCCACTCCAAGGCTTAAGCAGGGTCAGCGCCCAACGCTCTGTTTCCCCCCCGACATTATCCAGGATGAGGTCGAATCTTGAGGTAAAAAACAAGAGAAAGGGTAAAGATACATGCAGTTGTTGGGTATAAGAAACAAAAGGAGAGTTTGGAGGTGTGCAAGACAGGCGACAAGTTTGTCCGAAAATTGAAGAGCTCCCTCGCTGCTTTATATTTTGTTTACTGTAAATTGGTATTTCAACTTGTATATTTTAACTTTTTTAATGCCGTTTTATTTCTATTTTGAGATCTTTACATTTTAGAATTGTTTATTTCTACCATTTACATTTCTACTTATGTGCAATGCCTTGTCTTTTATGCTGCTGCAACGCAAACATTTCCCAAATTGGGATCAATAATCTTATCTTATGAGTCAACTGTAGCTAGAGGGGCAGGGTTGTCTTGGTAACAAGGGGCAAGTCATGGATACATTCACGCACCAACTACCATTCAAAACCGACATAGATATCTGCAGTTGTTCGTTTGGGATTTTTTACTTCTCCAGTTCACTGAGTGGTTTCTCAACAGGCCCGGAGGTGTAGTCAACAACATGGTCCGCCCCCAGGTCCCTCACAAACCACTCTGCATTCTGGGAGCAGGTCACAGTCACATGGGCGCCCCAAGCCTTCAGCATCTGGACACAAACGATAGGATCAGATTTAGTTTGTATCCTTTATCTAACGTTAAAAACAAATTCATGTTTAGGTTACTGTAGAGAGCAGAATGCTAGCCAGTGTTTGAGAGAGACTCACCATGTTTCATTAATGAGATCAACGTCTGTGTAATGTGAGATAGAGTATTCAGGTCGCCAAGCAAGGTGTGGGGCACAGTCTGAAACCTGACAGGCCAGGCAGACTTTTAATTCCACCCCTGTTTATTTTATGATCAGTGTCTATTTTTACGCTATTGTCACAGAGAATGATTATATGGTTGTATTTAGTGCAGGCTGTTTTGAGCTTGAGGCACTTCCAAAATGCTACATAAGGAAATATTTGTGTAAGATAAGACAGGACTTTATTTGATTACAAAGGAAAGAGATTGCTCAAGAAATACAACAATATAGAAATAAAAAAACAGTGTATGGGAAACAACATTAGTGCAAAATAAAATAACAATAGGAGTAAGATAAATTAAGTAAAATAAGTTGACCCAAGATTAATGTAATATTCATAAAAAAAGAAGAAGAAGAAGAGTAAAAAAATAATGTGTATAAAGAAGTAATATTAAAACCAGTGCCTAATAAAAGTCAATAAAGTAAAAAAAAGAATTTTGCATATGATTGTAAGTGTAATATCTCCCAGGATATGAGTCCACTTCACATCTCCGCTATCATCCTCCTCCTCCTCCTCCTCCTCTTCCTCCGTACCTGTATAGCAAATGTTCCCACTCCCCCGGATCCGCCAAGTATCAATATCCTGCGGGGAAGAGGAAAAGCTCACATTCAACAATGTTTACGCACTTTTGCTGCACAGTCTCCCTCATTAGGATTCATGTCAAACAGACTTCAGGGCTTCATCGTGTCAAGTTCGCAGAAGTGAGCCGCTGCCGGAGAACAATGGCTCGTCACCTGGAGGCTCGTTACGGAGCGAGGGAGCTTAGGAGGAGCGCTGAGAGGAATAATGATTCAGATCAAAGACAGAGAGCTTCTTTGGGGCGGACAGGGATTAACAGCGAGTGGACATTGTGTGTCTCCCTCACCGCTTCTTGGCACAGTTGTCCTTGCTGAGCCCCCCCGTGTTGACCAGTGCAGACCAGGACGTCGTTGCCACATAGGGAATGGCTGCTGCCTCTCTGTGGCTCAGTAACTTTGGTTTGCGGGATATCTGAACACAACACACAAGAGTTAGGGATTCACAAAATGTATCTGGCAGATAATGGGAAATCTATATTATCATGTATTATTCCGATAATTAAATTAAATATAGCCAGTAATATAAAGCCACAATGCTTTCATTGACGTGTGCAGAATCCCTAACAGTCCAATACTGTAGGGAGGGGTATGCACCTTCAAAGATGGTTTGCATTACACAAATATATGCTACAAGTTCAGCATATTTACGAGCAAACAGTGTGGACTGTTTTACAGTTTCAGAGGCAGCATGAGTTTAATCTACCATGTAAAGATGTACAATTATCTTATCGGTACTTCCAATGAGAAGCAGCTAATTATCGTTAATTGGTATCGGCTCAAAAAGAAAATTCATATTTTGCATCTCTAAATAATAAAAGCAGTAATAAAGGGTATCACCTTTCAGCAGTACACGTGCTGAGTCATTATGAAATAGCATCTGAAAGCCATCACCAACGCACAGTATTTACCAGATCATCACATTTAAAAGGGGCCCTTTTATGCTTTTTGGAGTTTCCCCTTCCTGTATTGTGTTATAGGTTTTAGTGCATGTAAATACCTCAAATATGGGTTAATCAATTTAAAAGGAAAAATCAACACATTTTTCGTATGAGGGTGTTGAAATTGTTGCTGGGCAACTGACACAAACCACAAAGAAAAGAGGAAACTCCTAACCCAGAACTGATACCCGAGGCATTGTGATCTCTCATGGAGATAGATTTGCTGTTGCACCAACAACATTGATGAAGTATACCTCGTTGGCACTCAGCACCACAAACTCAGCCAGGCTGCCCTGCTTCCATGGAGGGATGGCTGCCCACACCTGAAGGAGACACACAGCGACATGACACCCATTCAATTGACATAAACAAATGTGCGTCTGTATTTCTATAGTTAGTTCTTCTTTGGTAAGATGAGTATCAAATTAAAAGTAGCACATGTCATTTGTGACCACTCTCTGTGGTCACAAAAAGCAGAATATGACTTCAAGAAGTGCTCAAACTACTCATAACCAGTTCACATAAAAAATAATTACAAATAATGTACAATCTATATCATAACCACTAAATAAATACACATAATTATACAAATAAGATGTTTGAACAAAAAAACCTGTTATATATAAATATAAATAATTAACTAAAGTTTAAAAAAAATATGATGTGCAATAATGTTTGGTTTAATTTTATATATTTATCTTTTTGCCGATTTTTTTCCTTTAACCATAGAGACATGGTAGAAAAGGTTGGGTATTTGATATACAAATGGTCATTTTTTTTAATATGTAAAAAACATTTTGCTAAACAATTAATTAAGACATTTGAGTTTGATTCCAATTCACTTGTCAGCGGATTTATCAAAAAATGATTTAGTTTTAACTGTAGAATGCGTTGTTTCTTAAAGGGGCCCTATTATGCTTTGTTTCCCTCTCCTGTAGTGTGCTATAGGTTTGTGTGCATGTAAATGGTCTGCAAAGGCTAAAATCCCAAAGTTCCCTTCAGAGGGAGTTTCTCTCCCACACCCCCTGGGACTGAAATGCCTCCATTGGACTCCTTTGTTTACATCTGTAAATTAATAACATCACTAGCCAACACCTGTGCTTCTATTGGCTAGCGTCCTCCAACACATTCTACGTGATAGTGATGCCCCGGGCCTTAGCCTCAGTGGTTGACCAATCACAACAGAGCCGGCCAGCTAACGAATCAGAGCAGACTGGGCTCTGGTTTCAGACAGAGGGTGAAAAGAGGTGCTGCAGCACAGGGAGTATGAGGAAAATAAAGCACTGAAAGTAAGCATATCCTCCTTAATAATATCATCAGTGTTATCCATCAGTTAGCAATGCTGGTTAAATAAGACAAATAGTATCTGATCTTCCTGCACAACCCTCTTGTACTGCAAAGGGCTGAGATGCGAGTCGTGTCATGACGGTGCATAATGTGGGTAGAAGGATCGTTGTGACAGAGTTCACTGTGGCCAGGAGAGCATGAAGTAGGTTATTCCAATGTGATGATGATGATGCTCTGCTTGAAAACAGCCTCACACTATTACACCACCAGCTGCTGGCCCCATTTTGTAACTACCTCGGAATTCAGGATTCATCATCTGTGTTTAAGCAAGGTGTTTTTGTGCACTATTAAGGCAGCTACATGTTTTTGTTTACAGCATCATCATGACTACAACCCTACCTCATACTTTACACGACTCACTGTGTGCGGGAACATGTTGTTTCCTTATACATGCGGGCTGCCTGTGTGGTGGTCACATCTCCCTCATTTACCTCGTCCCTTTCTGTGAAGTACTTCACATCCAGGCCGCACTCCATGATGACCCCAGACACGTCTCTTCCCAGGATGAGAGGGAACTCCATGCCATTCTGCATCAAATTCAGAGGGTCTCTCTTCATGGACAAGCTTGAAGCACCATAGCCACCTGACAGGGAGAGTTTCTGATTAGAGACCATTTTGAGAACATTCACTGGAACAACAACACAAAGTTTGAAAGAAAACTTGATGTTGAAATGTTGACCTTTTGGTTGCTTAATGTAACTAACAAGGAAACTAAAAGAAAGTGATTATTCCGTTTGAGCAGCTGCCAGCTGCTAACAAATATTTTAAACTGCTGATTATTTTATTAAATTAATTTCAACTAAGAATTATGTTCAATATAAACCTGCCGATTATATAAATATAATTGGCCATAGGATAATTACGGAAGAGGTTAAGGGCCACAAGTGAATTTTTTTTGTTGAGATCTGACCAAAGTGAATTTAGTTTGAAAGGATTAAAAAAGTTTCTCAGAGATCTCAAATTAATGTTCACTTGTGGCCATAAACCTTAGATAATAACAAGTGGAGGTTTGTTTTTGAGTACAGTATCAAAAAAGTCTAGGATTTAGTTTTTTGTTACTGAATATGCAAATAAAAAAATGTGCTTTGGCAGCGAAGACAGATATCAGGTAAGAAAAGCGTCATAATTAGTCATATAGTCAGGGGTGCACATAACTTTTTTGCCCTGGTTCTCAAAGGAGCACCTGGAGATGTTGCTTGGGGCTCATCCTTAAAATGAAATAAACCGTAACTTTTGAGGGGGTCTTGACTTTATTTGCCAGACACACGGCACTGAACACACATGCAGAGGTGAACACAGAACACACATGCAGAGGTGAACACAGAACACACATGCAGAGGTGAACACAGAACACACATGCAGAGGTGAACACTGAACACACATGCAGAGGTGAACACAGAACACACATGCAGAGGTGAACACAAGACAACATTAGCACGACCAGTAATCCTACAAGCTGCCATCACTACCCTCCTGACTGTTCTCCTCACTGTCTTCCTCTCTGTCAGACATGGTAGCTGATGATGTAGGCCTACTACTTCCTCTCTGGTTGAGTCTGCGATTAGCTGCTTGCATCCACAAGTCAACAGCTGGGTTTGGGTCGAAAGTCTCTGTTGTCATCTTAGACAAGTGGATGTAATCAAATAAGTATGTGAACATAACCAATAACCTACCATAGCCAATAACAAATGAATGTAACTTATTTTATTTGTGTTGTTCATTCATATCTTATTTTACCTTAACATTTATTTATTTATGCTTTTTTTTTTATCTCTCCAGTTTTAAAGGATATTTTTGGTTACTGTCTTATACATTGGAATTATTTGAAACCTGTTTATCCCAATAATTATAACGGAGTGCCTTGGAAATATGTGTTTACATAAATTGTGACCAAACCGTTTGAACTTAGACTAATGGCGCATTTCCACTGCAACGGGGTAGCCCCGTTTAAGCGTCCCTAATAAGCGTCCTCGCTCAGGCCTCGGGCTGCCTCGCTGGCCGGCCCAGGCCGTGGCGCATTTCCATTACAGTTTAGGACCTGGGGTAGCAACGCAGTATAGGCGGGGCGATCGGCTTTGTTTTTGTTCACATTTCGAGTTGTTCCGTCGAGCTCCCGCTGGATTTGATCATCCCCAATGCGATGTAGGAACGTCGTCACCTCCTCGGTCGACCACGGTGTGCTTTTCTTATTAGACGTAGCCATTTTTGTAGCTCATCCGTTTACAAAATGCTGTTTATAAAAATGCTGCAAGCTTGCTTCTAAATATATATGCGACGCTAGGGATGAACTCGCGCGCGATCTTGTGACGATTCTCTCTGACCAATCAGCAGTCGAGAGTGTTGACGTCACTAGTTCAGCCCTGGCCCTGGTCTGAGGGAACCACGATTTTATGAGGCCGGAAAAGAGGGAAAAAGTACCCGCTAGCCGGTACTAGGCTATATGGAAAGGCCACCAAAAACTGGCCTGGCCGCTTGAGGACGGTTAAGGACGCTTAAACGGGGCTACCCGCTGCAGTGGAAATGCGCCATAAGAGTCCTTACCTCACTGAGCTGTAGTATCAGCCTCTCAGTCTGACTGGAGAGGACTCTCCCTCCACATTATTGTAGAAACATCTTCTTCTTATATCCGTTAGAGCAGCTAGCGGCACCAGATTCTAATAACAACAGCGCTGGTACCGGTGCACCATCCCTCTCTCCCTCGCATTTTGGCTGTGAGCTGCGGGCGCCAGATAAACCAACATCCCCCATTTTCATCACTTACAGCGCCCATCGTACAGGGCAAATGAAACGTGTAATCGGGGTGAAAAGGGTGTTACATTTACTTAATTATGAATATTGTTACATCAAGACCGAAAATTAGGATGAGCACCAACGGTCAAAATGTTTTTTTCCCTCCCAGAACTGCCAGCGCAGCGACTCCCCAGATCTGGCGGCCTAGGCGAACATCTAGCCAGCGCTACGGGCCGGTGTTCCGGATTAACTGGTTCCCCGATCAACTGGTTGACAGATGTGGAGGCGTGGCCTTCTACTGAAATACACATTTCGATCGCTTCTTCTGTCGTTTACATAAATCTTTTGGTATATTAGGCTTCGATAGGAACACTTTGATGCACATTCAGTACCAGTGTGTGAGGTTGTGGTTGCGATGGCGATATCCGGACGCGAACAGCGAGGACTACACAAATAAAAACGAGTTGACATGGGGATGTCTGTTCAAAACATTGCAAGCTCCAATAAATCATTTAAACCAGCTATTGTTGCCAGACTAATTACTGAATATCGTTCTTAATGTGATACCAAGTCCATCTGAGACCTGTGTACACCTTCAGACAGCCTCCAAGTGAAGCACACGTTGTTTACTCACAGTTTGAAAGCAGCGTGGAGAAGTCTTCAGCTGTGTTAAGTTGTGATCCGCTCGAATACATCATTAAAACCAGCTATTGTTGCCCGACTTATCACTGAATATCGTTCCTAATGTGATACCAAGTCCATCTGAAACATGTGTACACCTTCAGACAGCCTCCCAGTGAAGCGTACGTTGTTTACTCAGAGTTTGAAAGCAGCGTGGAGAAGTTTTCAGCTGTGATAAACTGTGATCCTCTCAGGTAAACTGTGATTCGCTCAGGGTCAACTGGGATCCACCCATGGGAAAATGGGATCCGCCCAGGTTAAACTGTTACGACTTATGTCGCTGTGACCAGCGATCATGTTTAATATGAAAGACACACACATCTACATGCCTTATAAAAACGGCATTCTGCAGCACTCATCCAGATAACATGCTGTTAACTCGTTTTGCAAAGATAGCAGCAGAAATGTCATTGCTGCATGTGCAGGGATATTAGACTTTAAAATGCTGATGGGTCATTAATGTTGGTCTCGGCAAACAATATTAGGAATCCTTTATTCAAACTACATAATATTCAGTGTCCATCGACATAAAAATAACAAAAAAGTTCATGCTGGACTCAAACCCGAGTCCCAACAGCAAAAGTCACTCCAGCCCTGCGCGTTATGAGTGCGCCACAGATCAACACGAGGTATCGAACCACCACACTATAATATTTTAGATTAACCTTGTTAAAAAGTTCCAGAAAAATGCAACCCGACCATCATTTATAATGTGAGCGAATGTACACTTTAAGCCATATAATATACATATTATAATATAGTATAGCCTACTGACTGAGGTCTGTATCAAGCCTCATTAAGACCCACCGAGATCAGATATCCTAGTTTATCAGCCTGCGAGCCCACATTATGTTGTGATAAGTGTTAGTTTTACATATAAGTGTGTTAAGGTTAATCTAAAATATTATAGTGTGGTGGTTCGATACCTCGTGTTGATCTGTGGCGCACTCATAACGCGCAGGGCTGGAGTGACTTTTGCTGTTGGAACTCGGGTTTGAGTCCAGCATGAACTTTTTTTGTTATTTTCATGTCGATGGACACTGAATATTATGTGGTTTGAATAGAGGATTCCTAATATTGTTTGCCGAGACCAACATTAATGACCCATCAGCATTTTAAAGTCTAATATCCCTGCACATGCAGCAATGACATTTCTGCTGCTATCTTTGCAAAACGAGTTAACAGTCACATGTTATCTGGATGAGTGCTGCAGAATGCCGTTTTTATAAGGCATGTAGATGTGTGTGTCTTTCATATTAAACATGATCGCTGGTAGATAGCCACAGAAGTCGTAACACAGTTTAATCTGGGCGGATCCCATTTTCCCATGGGCGAATCACAGTTTACCTGAGAGGAACAGTTTAACACAGCTGAAGACTTCTCCACGCTGCTTTCAAACTGTGAGTAAAGAACATGTGCTTCACTTGGAGGCTGTCTGAAGGTGTACACAGGTCTCAGATGGACTTGGTATCACATTAGGAACGATATTCAGTGATAAATCGGGCAACAATAGCTGCTTTTAAGGATTTATTCGAGCGATCACAGCTTAACACAGCTGAAGACTTCTCCACGCTGCTTTCAAACTGTGAGTAAAGAACATGTGCTTCACTTGGAGGCTGTCTGAAGGTGTACACAGGTCTCAGATGGACTTGGTATCACATTAAGAACGATATTCAGAAATAAGTCTGGCAACAATAGCTGGTTTAAATGATTTATTGGAGCTCGCAATGTTTTGAACAGACATCCCCGATCAACTCGTTTTTCTTTTTGTAGTCCTCGCTGTTCGCGTCCGGATATTGCCATCGTAAGCACAACCTCACACACTGGTACTGAATGTGCATCAAAGTGTTCCTATCCAGCCAAATATACCAAAATATGTATGTAAACGACAGAAGAAGCGATCGAAATGTGTATTTCAGTCGAGGCCACGCCTCCACATCTGTCAACCAGTTGATCGGGGAACCAGTCAATCCGGAACACCGGCCCTGAGTTCATATCATGGTTCATATGCAACTCGCAAATATCTTTATTTCTCTCTCTCTCTTCTCTCTCTTTCTCCTCTATTTTCTATTCTCCCTTCTCTCTCTCCCTCTCTCAATGTTGGTACGCAAATGCGCTTGGTTTCAAATGACCCGGTGCTCTTTTTTTGGCGGAGGTGCGCATGCGCACCAGTTATGTGCAGCCCTGCATATAGTCATCCCTATACTGAACACATGCAAATTGGACAGCAACCAATTAACACCCTCCAATATGCACTGAAGCTGCTCAAACTTTAATTTGTACTGAGCGCCCACAAAACATGCTATTGCATTTGCCCCTCTCTTTGCAGCCCTGCACCAAACCACCACCACCTCCTACTAGCTTTGTGGGAGAAGAATGACGGGATGCATGATGCATTTTGTCATCATAACCACAGGAAACGTCAACCTCACACTCTGTATCCTCACTTTTAAGTATTGATTCCAAAAAACGTTACAAACACCATTGTGATTATCCTAACACTTCAAATCTGTTCCCATTGTGAAGATGCACACATGCTGTCGTCACTCACCTCTCATGCCGACATCAATAGGGTTCAGTCCTGCTGCATTCACTTTGATAATAACCTCATTGGGGTATGTGATGACGGGGAAACTGGCATTTTTGGTGAATCGCAACACATCATTGCCTCCATATTGATCAATAACCCAGGCAGGCATAATAGTAATCCTTCTTTTGGTAGTACTGAACAGTCTTTTCTGCCTGCCATGCCAGCAAACTGATGTGTTCACACTCGGTGATGTACTGCAGTGAAACAACCACCTATTGTACATTAAGTGTCTCACAGAACTCATTTTAAACTCTTAAATATTAAATAAAATAGTGCAGCTATAATTACCTCCCTGTTACATACAGGATCCACTCTAGCTGTAGCGTTAGCGGTACTATGCTAAATTACAGTAACCCACGTAACGTTATTGAAGTCCTTTACAATTTACAATGTATTTCCTTCTTTAATAAACATGTCAAGCCAATTCCATTGTGATGATTTCAAACCAACGTCCTCTTCTTTCCTTAACATGCCACTTCTACTACCGGTGTCTTTCAAAGCCTCTCCACCAATCAGAGAGCGGCTTCCTCCCAGCTGTCCAATCACAGACAGCGTTGTTAGAGGTTTATTGGTCAAACAAACATGGCAGCCTGCAGGGGCTCGACACTGTACGAAGGTTGTTAATTATTTTTGAAAGGTTGCCATACAAATACTATAAAAATGCTCAGCCTGACAATAAGGGAGGTTAGTACGACTATGCACTGTTCTCCATGTCTGTTTAGAGCATTTAACAGTTAATTACATATTGGTCGTTGTGTACTGTCAAATCAATTGAAGTGAAACAATGTAAAATGTGTGAAAATGTGCTTTATAAATGCCTAAACATATTGTTGGTCCCTACAACATTGTATAAATGTATTAACTTAAGAATGTATAGATACCTGTCTACCCGATTTTATACAGTTTGTCAATAAATATCTTTATCTGCAGCCCTGAACTGAAAAGTGTCTGTTTCAGATTGTTATTTATTATTAATATATGATTGGGTTATAACTAATATATAAACCTTAACATTCAAGGTGAGGCTTTTCAAATAAATATTGGGTAACATCATAATTATGTACCTTTGTTTTGTAATTTTGGACACCTGAATAGAATGGAGCTATAATGTGCTATTCCTAAGCTGACAACCCAAAGTGTTTATTCTCAAAATGGTAAATTAAGTAAAATTGACGAGTCACATTCCATAACTTGTTCTTCATCATTGTTCTCCAGGTGTCTTTGGCGCTCAGGGAGGGAAGAATCTCTCCAACAGAGCTTTGTAGGAAGTGTCTGAACCGCATTAAGAAAACACAACATCTTAATGCCTACATCACTGTGACGGAGGAGCTGGCGCTGAAGCAGGCTCAAGAAGCAGAAACTAGACTGCTGCAAGGTGTGGAAACACGAGCGTGCATTTCTATACATTCTTAGTGAAGCCATTGGGGTCACTAATCTTGTTTTTCCTTCAGGTACCCCCAGAGGTCCTCTGGATGGAATCCCTTTTGCAGTCAAGGATAACTTCTGCACAGAAAATATCAAGACTACATGTGCATCCAGGATGCTTAAAGGTCTGTGCATCCTAAACCTTTTGCAAACTGCACACTATATACTTAATTAAAATGCACTGAATACTAAATTAACAACTATTGGTATTATTTAACCAGCAGACTATTCAAACTGTAGTATACTCAAGTGGATCTGTCACATCTCCAATAATAGTGCACCAAACTTCAGGTATCTAAATAACAGGTGTTATTTAGATAAAAAATGACAACATTCTGGGAATATACATTTTTACTTTATTGCCTGATAACATATCAAAATGTAATAAAGTGAAAGCTATTAGCCTTGCTCAAAATATCACATGACTGATGGCCAAGACGCAATGCATTGTGGGGCTATTGAGTCATGTGCAGCAGGCTGGTCTCATACCCATACATTCTTGCTTATGTAGTATACAGAAACACACTACAGACTTAATTGACTTATTCCAAGTGTGGATAGTATAATAGTATGATTTAATACGGATAATTACTATGAATAATTACTATGTCTAATATGTCTAATTTTTCCCGAAAAATAACATTATGTTACCTGTGCTTCAGACTACACTCCACCCTTCAATGCTACAGTGGTCCAGAAACTTTTTGACCAAGGGGCTGTTCTCATGGGGAAAGTCAACATGGATGAGTTTGCTATGGGGTAAGGGCATTGTTATCAATGGCTCAGTACTCACTGTCAGTAATGGATATTTCCAAACACCATATTATTTTATAAATAGCTTGATGAAGCTGTTTTACGGATTTTTACACATACAGAAAGAGACATTTTTGATAACTGGTTGGCAGTTTTCCTATTTATTTATCGATCGGTTTATTTGTCTTACAGTGCGGGCAGTACTGACGGGGCTTTCGGTCCAGTGAGGAACCCCTGGAGCTATTCTGCATCCTACAGAGAGCCGACAGAGGCAACACCAGACTCTGACTGGGTCATCACAGGAGGAAGTTCAGGAGGAAGTGCTGCAGCTGTGGCCTCACTCACCAGCTACCTGTGAGGGAACATATTTACGAGTTGCATAACTGTTACAAAGAAAACAAGTTCAACAACTGAATACAATGAACTTTTACTGTACAGGGCATTGGGTTCAGACACAGGTGGTTCTACTCGTAACCCTGGGGCACTGTGTGGTGTTGTAGCCCTGAAGCCCACCTATGGTCTGCTGTCCAGACATGGTCTCATCCCCCTGGTCAACTCCATGGACGTCCCCGGTATCATCACCCGCAGTGTGAGTGACGCAGCCATCGTCTTAGGTAGGAACCTTTTGATGAACCTCATCCAGTCCTACTGTACATAAAAAGATTTCTTGCTCTTAAAGATGGTGATTCCACATTTCCAGTTCTTCTAACCATGTAATATAAATAATATGTGACATTGCAAATAAACCAATATAGCACCTCAGCATTGTTGTTCTTTTTCATACTGGGATCCAATGATTAACCTAACCTTGGTTTTACTATGTCACACAGGAATCCTCCAAGGCCTTGATATTAAAGACTCAACAACAATTCCTGCCCCCCTCGTCACTGACAGAGCTACCAGAACAATTTGATGTCAAGAACCTCTGTGTCGGCATTCCTAAGGTGAGTTTAGCTCCGTATTAAAATCATCTTCTCCTTAGAATGAACTGGAATAGTCAAAGACCTAGAGGTAAGCCATGACCTGTACTTGCACTGTATGTGTCTTAGCAGCATTATCATCAAGACAGATCCTTTGAACTGTATGTGTAGTAGCTTAAGATATTTGTAAGTGGTTAAAAAATATCTGTGAACACAAATGCATGGACTTTCTAAAGCTGCTTTTCTCTCCCTTCACGTATGTCAGGAGTACCACGCCCCCGGGCTGTCTGAGGAGACTGTAGCACAGTGGAGTCGTGTTGCTGACATGTTTGAGAGGGCGGGGGCGCGGGTGAAGCAAGTATCTCTCCCCCACACCCAGTACTCCATCGTGTGCTACCACGTCCTGTGTACCACTGAGGTGGCGTCTAACATGGCCCGCTTCGACGGCCTAGAATACGGTATGAACCCGAGTACAATATATAAACTGTGCTTTGTGCACCAGTGCTTGGGGAAATGGCATATAGATCATATCTCAACTTTTTTAGGCATTGCTGCAATATCTTCTTATTTCCAACTGTTTATACTGTGCTACCCTTCAATGCTTTTTATCATTACAAGTGTGATAGTAAATGAATCTAAACAGTCCTTATGGTGGTATCTGTTATTAAGTTAGACAAATTATTAAAGACAATTCACTACTTTTTCTCTGAAGTATAGTTTGCAGAGCAAGGTTTTTAAAATGTTATTCATTTATATACATTCATTTATTATTTAATTTATATTCCTTGTGGTTTTTTATTTCTTTTATTAATTATATGAAATACACTGACTGACTTTTATAATGAATGTAAAATATCCTATTATGTTCATTGAAAGGTTGCTTTTATTTTTGAAAAACCAAACCAAATCTCATGCCAGTATCTTCAAAACAAAGTGACAATTAAAGAATTGTCTGAGTGTAATAGTCATTTACTACATCCCACTTAGAACAAGACGCAATACATCTACTATATTACATATATCACCCACCCCATTTCACATTAGTTGCCACCTAACTTTCAGATTACACAGGGAATCTCTTTGACTATCTAACATTATGAAATGGCTCTCCTTTCAGGCCATCGCAGCGAGGTGGATAGCTCGACGGAGGCCATGTACGCCTCGAGCCGACATGAGGGCTTCAACGATGTAGTGAGAGGAAGGATACTGTCTGGGAACTACTTCCTGCTCAAACAGTAAGGCAGTGTACTAAAGTTGCACCTTTATTGAACCTTTTTCTCTTTGGCCTCTTTTTCATATTGTATGCTGGAGCTGTAATGTTTCTGAAACATCAAGAACTAACTGTCTCCCTCCTCCTCACTCTCATTTTGCCAGGAACTACGAGCACTACTTTGTGAAGGCTCAGCAAGTGCGGCGGCTGATCGCAGAAGACTTTAAGCATGTCTTCAGCTCTGGTGTCGACGTGCTGCTGACGCCCACCACTCTGACTGATGCGGCCCGCTACTCCGACTTCACACAGGAAGACAACCGCACACGCAGCACGCAGGAAGACGTCTTTACCCAGCCTGTCAACATGGCAGGTAGGCAGCAAGGCCTTCAGGAAGAACTGTTCAAGCACGCATAGGAAGTGTGGGAGGATGCATTCATGGATACTCCCACACACCGAAAAACATTTTTTCTCTATAAAACCCACTTCAGTTTAGTTAATCTCATAAATTATAACCATATAATTTATAGGGAAGTTCAAATTGGCCCTATTGTGCTTTTTGGGGTTTCCCCTTTCCTGTAGTGTGTTATATAGCTTTTTGGGCCTGAAACGCCACCACTATGTACCTATGTACCTCCAACACAATGTACATGATAACGGTAGGCTGAACATCTTTAGGCGGTTGACCAATCAAAACAGAGCCAGCCAGCTAACCAATCAGAGTAGACTGGGTTCTGATTTCAGACGGAGGGAGAAAAGAGAAAACAGGCAGTATGAGAAAACAAAGAGCTTTTTGAACATTAAAGGAAGTAAACATATCACAGTAGAGGTGCAAAAGGAAACAGTTAACCTGTAAATGAGCATAATAGGCCCCCTTTAAAAGGGCAAAGGAGTATTTCACTTCTCTCTTTTCTTTGTTATTATCTGAAACCATAGGTAAACACACATGATTATTTCGGCGAAGACTAAAGTGTACCTTTGAGTGAGTTTAAATTATGTTCCACCTTTTATCACGCTACAAACTAACCTCTTTCTTCACCCCAGGTCTCCCTGCTGTTTCTGTGCCAACTGCTTTATCAAGACGGGGCCTTCCCATTGGTTTACAGCTCATAGGCCCCGCCCTCCAAGACCGGAAGCTGCTCAGTGTGGCCCAATGGATGGAGCAGAGGGTTGGGTTCC